TGAATGAAGCCTTTATTAGTCCCACAGAGGGGAAATTACACTGTGATTACTTTCAATTTGAATTCCCTGTGTGATTGTTTCTTGAGTTGCCTTGTGTATGAACTGTGGTACACACTTGCCTCGCCTATATTGTAATTGTGTGTGGGGTATCAAAAACAAGGGCAACGTAAAAAAGAATTGAAGGAAAGCAGCTGCCTTGGTTTTTTTACAGAATGTGCTTTGTCTATAATCACTTTTGTTCCATTGAAAGAAGTCAGCTCTAATGATCCAAAATTTTACTGCCAAATAAATGGCTCGACCGGATTCAATGCTATTTGTATTCATCAAGTCCAAAGTCTGGATTTGGACAGATTTTCATCTCTGGCAGAAACTGCTTCTTTGTGACACTCCACGAGTCCAATGTATTAGTGTATGTAACGAGGAAAGGAAAGCAGGTTTAGATTAGGGGCTGTGGAAAGAGCAGGTGTGCAGGGAAAATATTTCATATGTAAAATGGCTCAATGAAGATTGACTTTGTTCAACAGGGGCCACTTTGTATTCGATTTGTGCGCTAGAGTGTTTGTTCCCACCTGACACTTGACACACATGTTATTATAGGTTCTGGAATAGTGGAAGTGCTGGCGGATAAATAAAATAGATTTATTTATTTATTCATGGAAGGTTCAGATCGGCATATTTTGTTCCAGCCTGAGCCCAGACAAATAAACTGAACATTATTATAATAGATCCATCGATCAGATGGAGTAAAAGAAACAATTATACTTATATTTGCTTATTTTTTTATTTCAATATACTTGCCAACAATGTAACCATTGTGTGTGTGTGTGTGTAGACGATATAAATATTAACACAAACACTCACACTTAAAGGTCCAGGACCAACACAATGGCAGAGTGGTTAGCACTCTTACTTTTCAGTAAGGAGGTTTGAAATATGTCCTCTGCATTTGTGACCCACCTCCATCCCCCAGACCAGTTTTTAGTTTGAAGGAAAACCAGTGCACCAGGAGGAAACCTACGCAGACACAAGGAGAAAAGGCAAACTCCGCTGAGAGAGGCCCTTTTTGACCAAACCTAGGACCTTCTGTGTCTGAGAGCACTAACGTCTCAGCCACTTTCACTCTGTAAAACGCAGTAACTTACTAAATGCACTTTTCTCAGCGTTTGACCATGAGATAGTATCCCCCTCTGGCACCACTGACCACCTGTTGGTAGTTTGCTTACATTTGCTGGTTTTATTTTATCTGAATGTGTGATAAATGATTTGACAGTGACATATAATTTGAGCAGTCCTTTTTGCCCAAAAAAAAAGCTCATTACTAACTTCATCTGGAGTCTGGGGCCTTTAATATGATTGTGCTGAAACCTCACATACATTTGTAGATTATCGGTATAGCAGACACACAATAGGCCTACGCTGTCATTTGTAATCATGTTGTAAAGCCTAAGACACCTTATTGGTGGTTTTGATTTCTTTCATACGTTTATGTGTATTCAACAGTTGCATTGGCCAAGCCATATGCTGCCTTTAATGTGGCTTCTGTGTCTGTTATGTGGCCTCCTGTCTTGCTAACCCCATGTAGTCTTTGAGATAAAAAACACGTTCAAGTTCATCTCATCCAGCCAACTTCAGATCAGTCAATATAGACATATTATACATTGTTGTAAAGCTCAGAACCTCTTGAATTCAATGGATTACTTTATTGACACAAAAATCTATATAGTGCTAATGTAGCTGTGGTGAGATAGTAAACACAAACCTAAGTTTTGGCAAATGTGAATGAATACGGATTTATATTACCCTACTTTAAAGCTCAGAACAGTTTTGCAATCTGGGTTGTCGGCCTCTGGACAAGTCTGGTCACCTAAAGTCGCCTTCTTACTAAAATGTCTGGATACTAGCAAGACAGTGCTAATTTTCAACATTTATCCACAATATTTTACTTTTACAAAACTCTTTCTGTTTTATATGTTTCAACTCAAGCAACAAGCTCAATCCAAGAAAGTGTGAGTCACATTTCTTGCTCAAAGATCTTCCTTTAATCAAAATACATTCTCTTTCTAGGATGGACTGGATGTTTTGATTGAGAAAAACCCTTTTCCGTGTTACGCCATGGCCAGCCGCTTCTTTGGCAATTGCAAATGACACACTATCTGGCCACGTTAAGCGCAATGTCAAAGGTGCGAGGAACATTGCTTTGACGCAAACAGAGCAAAGCTATGTCTTTAAGCCGCCGCATTAATCATGTGTCAACTCTCGCTGCTCGAGTTTGTATGTGCAGTGACCCAAAGGAGACCTGCCGCCTCCAGACCCACCTGTATTGTAAATCACAGCCCCAGAGGAGAAGAACCAGCAGCCTCCCAGACACCTCCAGACATGTTCAGAGTTGCCCGTGTTTTAAAGAGTGGTTATTTTATATTTCTGAGGGATGTGATGTCATCGTTTTGGATTTGGTCAAGACAAAACCATCTGGTGTTAATAGGCTAATAGAGGGATGTGATTACAGGGCAGCGCAGAACAGAGATGTGCAGCTTTTAGTGCTGCTGCCGAGGGATTCAGATTGTAACTCTAGACAGCAGCAAATTATACTTTTCTGAAGGGATTCCAGCGACCTCCTGGTGATATGACTCACTTTCAGAGAAACTTCTGAGTGCTCTAGTCTAAATAAAGTTATTAGTGGTATAAAAAAAACTAATTGTTGTACTAAAGGCTAAAATGTCTTGATTTAACTGTTGAGAGAGTTAGAATGCCATGCCGTAAATACATTTGAGATTTGTTTAGGTTCTGGCTCCTCAGGCTGCATATTTCTGACTAATTATCTAATTCAGATCTGTCTGAATTGTGATTTGATTCTCTTAGTGTGCCTCCGTGGGCAATATTATCTCATGTTTCAGGAAAACTGAAATACTAACGGATACGATATTGCATAAATCCATCTGAGGAAAGGCTCAGAGGAAGCAACTTACCACCAAGGGCACGTAAGAGTGAAGAAGACCGATACAGAGACTTCGGCGCCGCTACCAGAATCCACTGAGACTTTAGGACCGGCCTGCCCTTAAGAGCTCCAGAGGGACCAGGACTCGAGGATAAAGCACTTTTTTAGAGCAAGATCAGTGAGATGAGGATCTATCTATCTATCTATCTATCTATCTATCTATCTATCTCTATCTATAATATCAACACAAATTTCTCATTAAAAATACACTTTAAAATGTATTCTTTCTTTTCTTCTCCTATATGATAATTTGCCAATGTAGCCAAGGACTTTACAATGAGGTGGAAAAAACCCCAGCTTTTACTAAAATGAGAAAAATTGATACATGTACGTTTTGTTACCAATATTAATTTTAAGACTCCACAAACATAGCTTAAGCAATTCACTTAAAAAAAAAAAAACACAATCTATCTTGCTACTCTACCGTGTTCCACGAATTCTTTGGTTATTTTCTTTATCCCCATTTGCAATTTAGTAACTTGAATACCATCCTTGATCATTCTCCACCTGCTCCGTTGCACCAGATGAAATAGTTCCTTGTAACTCCATTGTTGACAGGACACATCAAACAAACAGGTGAACAAAAGGGACACAGTGTTTGTTTAAAATGCTGAGTCTGTGCTTCTGTTATGTTTTTATATTTAGGGGAAGAGGCTCGATGGAGAAAATGAAAAAGCAGCAGATACAACGAATAATGACTGCTTCAGCTTCTGACAGTTCAAAGAGACTGGAAGATACTGTACTTACACATATCAAAGACTCATTGTGCCCGACTGGGTTTCACTTTCCCTCATGCCTATAAATTATGTAGGTTACAGCGGCATGTTTTATTTTGTTTTGGGAAGTCACAAAGAGGTACCATCAGAAACAATGAAGTACACATGCTGCAGTGTAATCAGCCCTCTCTCTACAAGGTTTTTTAAACATGTTTGTGAGACACGGACCTGTTTGAAGGAAGTATTGTCAACTAGACTATGATTAGTTCATCTCCTCCCTGACCTATTTTAGCCCACTCGGCTGCAATAGTCTCTTATCGTTTGCTATCTCTATCTATCTATGTGTCTATCTATCCATATATGTATCTCTCTATCAATCAAACAGGACAAGGACATTTTAACCGCTGTGGATCATTTGATACACATGTTTTTTCCATTATAATCCTCATCAATGTTCTTTCTCGTCTGATAGGGTTAAATCTGGTTGCAGTGAGGAACTAGGTCTGTAACAAGTTTATTGATTAATGTGTAACAAGTCTTCTCTAGAAGATGTTCTCCAGGGGTTTTGGTGAAATGTATGTCAACATGTTCTCTGACCTTATTGGCAATAATTGTCTATTGACTAATCAATCATCAAAAACTGATCAAAAGAACCCATTGAAGAAACTTTTACCTGCAAATTGTTCATTCTGACCAATTTATTGGTCAATCCAACCAATATTGGTTCAACCAATTAAATTGTTAGTTTTGCACGTAGCTCCGCCCCTTTTGTCTAAAAGCTCCTGTCTCAGTCCTCTAATACTACGATGTCATTGTACCACTATCACACAATTTTCTGCCTCTTAAAACAATGTACTGTCCCTAAATAAGTTAAGATTAGGGTTAGGCAATTTCACAGATGACAGGATGTCCTTTATAATCATGTCTGTTTACATTTGTACATGTTTATTAGCAAATTTGAACATTTGCAAAAACACAAAACAAATGTCAGTGCTCCCTCTGGTGGTAGCATAAGGAGATACAGGTGGAAAGCCTTTTTTACCCTTGATACATGTTTCATCATATATTTTGTATTGAGGATATTATTTCACATTCTAAAACAAAAATAGTGAATAGTCTCATTATAATTTGTATGGTCAAAAATGTAATTTATGTTGATCTGATCTTATGGTGTAGAGTGGCCATTTCACAGCATGTGTCATATCACTGTCATGTATTTACTGATAGAGATGCTGTTTGTTCACATTTATTGGCTGTAAATAGCTCACAGAAAGTCTGGTGCTCCCCAGTGTCTTCAGACGAGCTGCTGAGGAGCTGCTGTGAGACTGGAGAGAAATGGGCATCTGTGAGGGGCCACTGCAGCAGCATGGAGCCTCCCACTCGGGACCGCCACTCCATCTGCTGGTGAGGAGGCACTTACAGTACCATCATCATCATCATCATCATCATCATCATCACACCCAACGCAATCTTCACACTGTTTACACATCTGGGTCAAGTCAGGGTCTTGGTGTCCATATTGTCATGAGGCTGAAATATCAAAATCAGTGTTGATGCTCAGGGATTCGGACAGATTTATTATTTATTTTAGACACTTGCATTTTCAACACATGACAACAGGTAAATTGCTAAATTGGTACCTCATTATTCGCTCTATAATCATTTTGACCAATGCAAAATGTTGTTTTCTTGCATTTTTGCAAAACTTTTGGAAAACTTTTGGAAAACTTTATCCCAGGGGCTAGGGTTAGGGTTTCTGGTGGAACTGAGGTTAAAGGAGACACATCATGCAAAGTTATCTTTTCTCTCTTTTAACCATATTACAACGTTGTTCCATTATCTGTCACAGATGTGGAGTTGGTTTTTAGATCTATCCATGCTAATATCAGGAACTTCAGGCACAACCATGCAACTCCTCCCCTTCTGTCTCAAAGCTCCTGTCTCAGTCCTGTAATAAAGCCTGTTTCCACCTGCTAACTTGGCCCTACCCTACTCTACTTGGCTCTACTCGGCCCATCTTTGGAGCGCCCGTCCTTCTTTAGCCTCTGCTTGGCCCTGGTTCTATCCAGGCCGTGCTGCATTATGATGTCAATGTACCAATATGACATCATACTTTTAAAACAAAAGTATTGCCCATCAATAAGTCTAATAAGACTTCTCAGGTGAAATGACGTTCTTAACAATCGCTTGTCTAATTTTTCAGCCGGTAATTCTCAAATTTGGAAAAAGTGCCTTTTTTACCCTTGTGTACAGTCTCACATATAGTATATGCACAAATAATAATCTGTCTTAAAAAAAACAAAAAAAACAGTAAGATTATCAGCTAAATTGTTGTTGAATTACAAAGATCCTCCCAATGTTGCACATGGAAATGATTAAACTCCAAATCCATATTTCCTATAAACATATGTTTGATAAAACTAATCAATTATTGAACAATAAGCCGCTGTAGTGACAGGACTTAGTGACTCAATTCACAATTAATACTTAAACTGTGTACATTTACTGTATTTAACTTCCAAATATTGTTGGTTTTTGACCAGAAGTATTTTACAATTCTAGTTGATGTCATGAATGTGAACTGTTGACAGATAACATTTGGGGATTAATAAAAGCCTGTATTATCATGTTACTGTTACTGTATCTGTTCTGCACCTTATGAAATATTTAACTATTGTAATTATTATTTTCCCACCAGCGCTCCCCCCAAAGATTTGAGCCCAATTATTGCCTTTCATTGTTAGAACTTTTAACGAGCAGCCTGAAACCAACGACTTCTTTGCTCCACAGAGAGAAGAGAGAGCTGTGGTTTCTGCCTTGTTGCTGTGAACATTTAAAATTACTTTCAACATAAAATGTATTAAAAAAGCCGTTGTTGGAGATTCACATTTGAAAACGACCAGCTGCAACCACTAACCACTAGAATAAGAAACTAATGACACTATACTTTGATAATTATAATGAATCAGTTTTATAAAGTACTATTTTGGACACTCAAAGGTGCTTCATATGGCATTACTCATTCATACACGGTGGTGTTAAACTACAACTACAACTCATAGTCGTACAATGACATCAAAGTAGGACTGAGACAGGGGCTTTTAGACAGAAGGGGCGGAGCTACTGTTTGTGCCAGAAGTTCCTGATATTAGTGTTCAAGTCTGAATGATGAGGAACACATTTGTAACATGGTTAAAAGCTCAAAAAGATACATTTTTACATCATACTTGTCCTTTAAAAGACAAAAACAATGCAAAATTGTTACTTTTAACCAAACCACTCTCTGATTATTCTTGAGCTGGATATTTTACTGAATGTAAAAGGTAGATTTTCATTGCTGTGAACATTCAGAATTAGTCAAATCAAGTCATCCCAACCAACATAAATAATTACAACAATTACTACTACTACTACTACTACTACTACTGCTAGGACTAGTAATAGTAAGAACAATGATAATAATGATAAATACTTTTCACATAGATTGATGTTCAGTGCTGTGAACATTTAAAGTGTCTACATCAGCTCTGGTGTGTACTATCCTCTTGCACAGTTATCCCAATGTGGTTTTACTGCAAATGGTAAAAAAGCTAAATTAAATACATCAGAAACACGGAGACTGGACTTCTCTCTGTTTTGCCTTTCACACCATGTTCTTACTGTTGCTAGCGACCACATGCGCTCTAACGGCTTTTTCGTGACGGCTTGATAAACGACCGCACTTGTTGCCGCGGTGCCCGTCCAAATCACTTGTTCTCTTTGTCCCCCTCTGTGCCAGGACGTCCCAACAGCAGTGCTGCCTGGGCTCCCTCCGAGAGCAGCAGTGTCTGTCCGGAGTGAAGGCGGCCACGGCTGGAGCCTCCTGTGAAAGAGACGGCGCTGATGAATGTGGAAGCAATTCTTTCAAGGCCAGTATCCACCACAGAGAGGCCACGCACAGTTCACCAGGCTCCACTGTCAAACCTAATGACCTTGTAAAACTCTAATGCAACTCTAATTCATCCTAAATTAACTATTTGAAATCGCATCCGTCGCAGTAGAATTTAAAACACGTGCTGTGGTCCTCAGATGGATTCACTTTGTTCTAAGGTCCAGGGAAGGGGGGACCTCTGGCGGCACCAATTCACTGTTATTGGATTAGTTAAGTCTGTTAGGGTAGAATAAGTCAGGGTTTGTTACGCCAATGTTCCCACAGTCTGTCAAGCGTAGGACGTTCTTCACATACAAAGTTTATACGCCCATTTCATTGTTGTTCTTGTTTTCTATTTGCAACTTATATCATTTTTGAGTGGCTCTAGGGAGATCTCAAATGTGGAGTGGATGCAAGGGTCTGGACCTCTGGGAACAGCAGGTGCTACAGTGGGGCAGCTGTAAAGTGCCAAACAGTCTTTCTGACCTTGGGCAAGACACTTCTCCCACAATGCTTAGAATGAGTCTGCGTAAATGTTTAGTGGTGGCTGGAGGGGCTGATGGCACAAACTGCGATTGCCTCGCTTCTGTCAGTGTGCCCCACGGCAGCTATATGAAACTGATGTTGATTACTATAAAGAACCTCATACCAAGAAATACTCCAAGCTTTCATAAATGTTAAAGGAGAAACACACAATACTGAGAAAACAAATCAATGAAGCATGTGCAGAGGAACCAAGTACTTCATCACAATGATCACCACGAGAGTGGCCTACATTAGTCCAAATACAGCTAAAAGCCTGAATTTTGCCTGTGCTCTTAAATTGACATTGTAAACACACAGTAATATTCATGGGGCTCCCATAATTCTGAAACTACTGGAGTCAATTTGACGGCCCCCATTCAAATCCATAAAGTGAGTTAGTTTTACACCATATTTATTATTAAAAGCAAGTCATTTATAAGGTGACTCAGATTCTGAATCTTTACTCACTTTAAAGGTGGGGAATGTAAATACGACAAAGGCTAAATACTTACTGCGGCACATAAACAGCGTGTTGTCATGGTAACTTTCTCTTCTCTGGTGGAAAACCAAGCTGACCCAGGATCAGCACATTGGAGAGAAGGGGCTTTTACTGACATAAACTACCAAAAATGGCTACATTTCAATGGAGCTGTAAAGAGGACTGCTCTGGGAGGTAAGAGCAGTCCTTGTTTCTACTCACAATAATGACAGAAACAAATGTGACTATCAAAAATGTTGAATCATTACACTTCCAAAGCTAAGCCGTCAGTTTGACTGCTCTGTGCGTTCTCATGTTAAACAAACGATGCACATGTCTGCTGTACAGGAGTGCTGTGGCTGCTGCGCTCTGGGTCTGCAGTTCCGCGCTGAGGCCCTGAGCTGCGACGCCCACCCTTCTCTGGGCTTCCACTGCAGACACATATTCATGACCTGCTGCGAGGAGGAGGAAGGGGCTGGAGGTCCTAGCGCCTGGCACCCGGTCAGAGACAGACCTGCCTCAGCCCCCACCTCACCCCCCCAACGAGGTACAACACACAACGCACTGCAGACACCTGAGCTGCAGCGAGGGGGAGATTTATACCCAGAACTTTACTGCCCACCGGGAGGATTGTATTAAGGTTTCACTGGCACGCTGAGAGGCTGCTGCTCTCGTTTGCCACCCAGAAGTTTAAGCTCCGGCTGTAAATTTCTAAGATATACTGCTTCTCTGCCTGCGTGTCCTATTGTGTTACGCAGGCTCTTAAACCCACTGCTTTTTGAATTGGTGCCATGTTGGAGGTATTATAAGAGGATAATTGCATTGACCTTTGGAACAAAAGTAATCTTTCTCACTCAGGATGTGAAGTGCAAAAGGGGGAAAACGACTACACTGCAAAAAATTACAAAGTCTAAGTCGATTTTTGATCCAATTAGGAAATATTGATCTTGACCTGTATAATTAACTGACTTAAAAGAGGAGTTAGCCATGGAGCAATTTCAATCCAATTCAAAATATACCTATATCACTACAGCAGTTGTCTATGTACTTGTTTTAAAATCTTCTTTCACAGCGTCAAGTGTTTTCCTTCATGTTTTTAAGTTGTCTTTTATGCTCACTGGGTATTTTTTACACAAATATTCCAATTTGTTTTTTCACTGCAAATGCAAAAAATAAACTGAATCTGCCTCTAAATCTGGGTGTTTTGTGTTCTTCAGTGTCTGACAGTCCAGCGTTCCCAAAAGAGGCCTTCTCTCTGGGGCAGGAGGTTGAGAACGCGGTGGAGAGCCCGGTGGAGGTGGAGGACATGGACGAGTGTCTGATCTACGAGGGGAGCATCTGCCATCACACATGTGTCAACACGCCAGGATCCTTCCGCTGCCAGTGTTTCCCTGGGTACACGCTGCAGGAGGACGCCGTCACGTGTGCGAAAGGTAACGTCCCAGTCCAACTACAGAGTTTAAGAGTTCAATTCAATTCAGCATTCAATGGACCAATTGACTGCATTAAGGCTAAAGATGTGATCAATCAATGTAATCAATCATCTGAGACTTGGACTTGTGAGGAAGAGACGTATGTGCATCTCTGCCTCAGAGTCCCAGCAGGAGGCCTGTCCCTGTGCTCCTCAGAGTCTGTACTTTGGGCCGAGGCCATGGAAAGACGTGTACACAATCAGAGCTGCTTTAAGTCCATTCTAATAAGAAAACGTAATATCAGTTGATCTCTGGTTAAAACCATTGAATATTGCATGCAATCTTTTTTAATTTTCCCCTATATTTGTTTGTTTCAGCTGAGACCTTTTAATGATGAAGAAAATTTCCAAAAACAGATATCTTTGTTAGGAAAATCTGTCAAAAAGTGTTAAACCTCAAACTACAATCTTCAACCTATTTTGTTAATGGCAGTAAATTTAAAAGAATCTGCTGGGGTGAAACATTATTTGTATGACACTAAAATTGAAAAAACGTTCCAAAAACGTTTGGTAAATTGTAAGTCTTTCAAATATGTTTCTAATGGCACGTAACTGCAAAACTGAAACCATCAAAGTGGATTGTGACAGGCGTATACGTTACAATAGGAAGCTACTAAGTGCTATTTTCAGACTGTACAATAAGAACTGCTGAGCCTGTAAATTTCATTCATCTGTAAATAAGTAAATTCTTAAATCATGTGCAATGTGCAATACTGTAACTTCAGAATATCCACTGAACAATGTCACTTTACTTATCTACTTATTATCCTGCACTATTTAACTGTACAGTATATAACTGCACTACTACATATATATATTTAGACTGGTATTGAAGCATTGCTACTACTTATTTGTATATATTTTGTGTGCTCCCTGTGTGCTCTTACTACTGTCCTGTATGTGCGCTGCAACAATGAAATTTCCCCACTGTGACCCTATGAACCTGAAGTGAGTTCTTAACCCATAACACCACAGTCACGCCCCTAACCTAAAATAAAAACTTTCTCTTTTCAAATGCAAATCTAAAATCCCGACACTGTCCTTTTTTCCATTTTTACCGTAATAGCACAGCCGTAAATAAAAAAAATATTATTTCAGTGGTGACTTCCTTCCTGTCTGCAAGCGCTGATAATGTCTAATAATGGTTTCTTTTCTAATTATGCTTCAACATCCCTTTCCTGATGTGATAGAACAGAACAAAGATCAGTAGTTTAAAAGGTTATGGTAAACGCCCAGAAAAGGGTTCACGTTTAATTGAAAAGTGTGTCATTTGGCAAAACATGTCGCCCATCTTGCCTCTCGCCTGAGGAGAAATTGGGCTTGAATTGGATTTGTCGATCAGACTTCTTTCAGATCCAACCAATATGATGTTGTTACGTATAAAGTATTATTGTATTATCGTAGTGAGACAGCATTAATGCACTGCCTCACTGCTTTTGAAAGACTAGAAAAGCCGATGACACAGATCGGCAGCCTCATTTGCATTAGTCTGCGCCAGGGGCTGTGATACTGAGCAGTATAGAGTGAATGAATGTGTAATGTAAAGCCAGAGTTTTATTATCATCAGTGTAATCTGGTATAACTTATTTTGACATGGAAGTACATTGTATGAGTGTAAAAACAGCACTAAAGTGTGGATTACTTATTTCGTAATTAATTCATGCTTTTTGAGGAGTGAAGAGTGGGCAACAGTGGCTCAGTTGGTAGAGCATTGGCCTTTAAGCCTGAAGGTCATGGGTTTGAGCCCACCATAAGACCTACCTCGCGACTCCCACTAAGGACTGCTGTCGTTGTGTCCTTGGGCAAGACACTTAACCCCACTTTGCCTGAAGCGCCCACTGAAAGATCTTAGCTCCTGTGGACTCACCACCTGCAGGAGGATCAGTGAGGGGCTGGTGCTCTGTGACTGGGTGCAGCTCTGACTGTCACCCCCCAACCCAGAAATGAATTAAGGGGAAGAAAATGGATGGATGGAGAAAGAGTAAAGAGTGCAAAAGTATAATGTAGTGAACAAATCAGATCAAGAAAGAGGGGGGGTCCTCTCTTCATCACTTTTCTGTTTATTAAAGTGTGAGATGTGAGAGAGGCCAAACATACATGCATGGGAAAACTGTAGTGATCGAACCAAACTGTTTTAGAGCAAAGAAGGACATGGATTTTATTTGCATTCTTTAAAAGTGAGGCTCTAGTTTGAAATAGATTTTCTTATCATCCCATTAAACCTGGGTTTGGGCAACTTTTATCATCAAAGTGCCAGTTCTGTTGCATACACTGGGCATTACATTATTCATTATTTGATCTTATTTAGAACTTACCCATGACCACCATTGAATTCAACAAACAATATTAAAAATCCACCTCAGTCCCTATTCTACAGCCTTAGTCCTGGATCTACAGCCTGTCAGTCCATGGAAGTGGATTCCTCTCTCCATATAGCGAGCGTTGAAAGGGGCATCTTTGTCAACACATTGATACAAACATATAGAAATCATATATTAAAAACAATGTGCCTGAAGTCCCTGCTGAAAGACCAAGGCCCAGACCAAGACCGCATCTGTGTCGAAGGAGCAGCCATCTTCCCGTGGACCCACCACCTGCGGGAAGATCAGCGTGGGACTGGTGCTGTGTGAATTGGGTGGCAGTTCTGATTGCCACCCCCCTGACCCAGAAATGGAAAATAAAGGGATGTAAATGAAATGAAATGAAATGAAATGAAATGAAATGAAATGAAATGAAATATTAAAAACATGATTTTATTTTTGGTTGACGCCAAAGGAGCCACTGAGGCTGAGAAGCTGCATGGCATTCCTTGCTTTAGACTAAAGTATGCTCAAGTCAAAAAGTATGTATGTATTTTCTACTTCTGTAGCTTTTCACCAACTTGCCTCGACAAGACTCAAATTGCAGCGGCGGATGCGATACACTAATAAAAGCAAATGTTTTGACTGCAGGCGACACATTTTCCTGTCTGACTTACAGCTTTTATTTCATCTGAAGCTCACAAAAAGGGGAAATGTCGGGATTGCTCATGCCTTCAAGTACATGGAGTTTTTGATTACAGTCTGATAACGGTGTGTTTTTACAGAGACTCCAGAAGATCAGAACAGGCTGAAGGAGGATGACAAAGAGGAGCCCACATTACCTCCTCCTGCACCACCCACAGAGCACCCTGCCCCAAACCCATGCCAAGGTTTGGAACAGTTATATATATGCTATTTTATATAATGATAATATATTTGGACTAATGACAGGGTATGAATCTTTATCAAGACTCCCATGATAAAACTCTCCATGATATTCCCAGAAGTATTATGCATTATTATATATATATGTTAGGGCTGTCAAACGATTAATTTTTTTTTAGTTGATCAATTTAGTTGATTGATGAGTTAACTCACGATTAATCAAATTTTTAACATTCTATTTCAAATCCACTCCAATTGAAGTTAAATGAGATTTTCAAATGTAATGACACATTGTTATTCATACCAAATGTATGAATGTTTGACAACCTTCACAACCTTCTACTTTTGGGTACAACCAACAAGAGCTGTTAATGAAAGGGAAAATGTAGGTACCCCAGCTTTAATTTTGTGAGTTTGGTTGCATTTCAGCGTGTCTCCTCCTCCGTGTGTCACACAACATCAGAGAATGGCCCCTGTGCGTGTATATATATGAGTGTATTATATGACCACGTAACGTGGGCGTCGGACTGGGGGGGTAAAGGGTACCGAGTACCCAGGGCCCAAGGCGGGGAGGGGCCCTCTAAAGTGTGTCTTTATATTTATATGTATTAGGCATTGTGGTATATTCATATTATTACAATTTGAATGAAAGGGGCCCTGTATAAAAATAACCAACGTTTTAACCTCAGTTTTCCTCTAAAAACAAATTTGTATGCTATATCAGGGCCCTGCCACCCCCTTACAAAAGATCAAATGGTACGACCCACATGTGCGCTTGTTGCTGTGTTGCTGCCGCTGCAGCGAGTTGATTTGTTTGAGCAGCGGCAGAAGCGGGAAAAATAGAAATGTCTTTTCCAAAGAAAGGAAAATCAGGATTTCAGAAAAGAAAAGAAAGACAGGACAGGGAGAAAAAGTGTAATGAGGGCAAGCAATTGCTTACTCAGTTCTTCCACACGAGAGGTGAGTATATAGAGACGTGTTAAGGCCACATCAGGAGAAAACAGTGTGCTGTGTACGTGGTAAAAAAATAAACCTTATCCAGAGTGACACACACAGACGCGCAGCTGTAAAGGGAGCTCACACACACTGCTGTCCACTTCTCCTTCAAAGGCAGGCAGCAAAGAGTTATTTTCATGTACAACCCTGTACCCTATATTCCCACTATTGTCATAATCTGTCCGTCCGTGAGTCTTGCAGTCATAAGTCACGGGTCACTCACTGGCCTCTGCATTGGATCATCTGGTTATAACCATACTAATCACACGCCCCGCACCGATTTGGAGGTTTCTGGTGACATCTAGTGGTCAAAATAATGTAAATAAGTCTAATGGTCTAAAGCAGGGGTGTCAAACTCATTTTGGTCCGGGGGCCACATACAACCTAATCTGATCTCAAGTGGGCCGGACCAGGAGATGCTCTACAAAAATATCCAAAAACGGTACAAAGTCCAACTTTTTGTGCACATAAACACATGTATTTAAAACTTCCTTTAAAACACTATCCTTTAATACTCAGTTTTCTGTTACAAACTTAAATGTAACAGTGAGTTTTTCATAGTGCAAATAATGTAATGTATTTACAATATTACATTGAAAATGGTATTTCACAATATGTATATTAATATTTGTATGTTAGCTTTGTTTTAAGGCTCATTACAGAGAAAACTTGCTCACAAAGGTAAAGTAGGTAGACAAAAAAAAGCACTTTAACACAGCACCTCAGCTTGACCATCTTCAGTGTGGTACGGTCCATGGTTATGTTATTATCACATTAACCATCTTCAGTGTGGTACGGTCCATGGTTATGTTATTATCACATTAACCATCTTCAGTGTGGTACGGTCCATGGTTATGTTTATCACATTTCTCAGTGTGGTACGGTCCATGTTATGTTATTATCACATTAACCATCTTCAGTGTGGTAAGGTCCATGGTTATGTTATTATCACATTAACCATCTTCAGTGTGGTAAGGTCCATGGTTATGTTATTATCACATTAACCATCTTCAGTGTGGTAAGGTCCATGGTTATGTTATTATCACATTAACCATCTTCAGTGTGTAAGGTCCATGGTTATGTTATTATCACATTAACCATCTTCAGTGTGGTAAGGTCCATGGTTATGTTATTATCACATTAACCATCTTCAGTGTGGTAAGGTCCATGGTTATGTTATTATCACAGAGAAAGCATCAAACTGACCATGATTCACTTGAAATGAATAAAAACAACTTCCATAACGTGATCCATTCTTAACGACTGCAGCAGTGTCTCTGTGTAAAATACAGTCAAATGTCCAAAAATCATCACCTCCATTTGCAGCTTTGTCACTACACCTGTTTTTACCATCGGTACCCGTCCACACTGTCCAACACACCAGCAACAACAGCAGAACCAGCAGCAGCACCAGCAGCAGCGCTCAAAACTCCTCTGATAGTTTCAGTAACACCACAAATGAATATGTGACATCAGTAACATCAGTCTCTTATCAATGGCAACATGTTGGTAAAAGCGAGTGGTTTCTCAGACCATGTCTGCAGCCTGTGAGAGTTTTAACAAACTCTCTCTCACTGTGCGGCTGCGATGCTAATGCTAATGTTGTTAGCACAGGTAGCTTCCCTTTACAGCAGCAGAACTAACCTCTCGCTCTGGGCACAAACAGACTGCTGTGTCTTCAGGGCCAGACATGTTTATCTTCTGTTTTCTCAATTCTCCGCTCAAAGTGCCGTATTTTTCGCCGAGTCTTGTAGTTTAAGATGTTATTCCTCCAGCACCGCTCTGGTGGAGCCACTACAGACGCACTGGACTCACCCCTGAGCGACGCTGCGGCGTCGCGTCGCGGAGCCTCGCGGAGCCTCGCGGAGCCTCGCGTCGCGGAGCGGCTTTTTAAAATGTATTATTATTATATTTTTACATAAATGAGCCGCGGGCCGTGTCAAATCTCTTGGCGGGCCGGTTCCGGCCCGAGGGCCGTATGAATGACACCCCTGGTCTAAAGGTTTCTAGCTCTACAATTATCTTAGTGTGTAAACAAGGGTGAAATGAGACTTTCTGGTGTGTAAACTATTGCTTTTAAGCCAGAAATGACAACTGACAATCACAGCCCAGACCATGCCCAACTGTAAGCCCCCCTTCTTCTCCACTGGTGCCATTTTTACAGAAAAATGTCAAATGTTCATGTGGGCGGAGTAAGGCTAGGCACAGGTGTTTAGTTGAAAATGGAATAGGCTTATTTCAAAAAAGATTGCATCGATTTGAATTTTGCCACAAAGTCTAAATTGGTGGATAATAATGAACCATAAAAAGTATTTTGTTGTATATTTGTACAATAACAAATAAGTAACTTACCTACTCATGGTCCATACAAATAAGATGAGATATACTATATATTTTATATGAATAGCCATATACACATATCACATAAAGGCATGCAGGCATATACGTAATAGCTATACACTGTAATGATGGAATATAGTATCTGTTTGCAACCCATTAAAGCTACTTTATTTCAGTTTCAGGAAGAGAAGCATCATGGCCAGATGAAGGCACTAGTAGTGAGGGTTTGACAGTGAGGCATGGTGAGCATTTATCATCACTGATTGAACTGTTTTCAATAAGTTAGTAAGTTATTACTTTATAAGTTTTACTGTATACACTAATTCTATATAATTTTTGTCTGTATTGTGTCCATGTAGCAGAGGCAGAGGCAGAATTAGAAGAGGATGTAGAAACTGAATTAAGTGATGAAAGGGAAAGCGAAAGTGATGAGAATGTGGAGAGGATTGAGGAGGAAAGAGACGACACCAAGAGACAGAGTAATAATGATGAGGGATTGTCAGAGGACCCAGGATTATGGCCAGAGAATCTCACCGATAAACAAAGGAAAAGAATTGTTCATCTACTAGCCAGTGATGGTGGTTCAAAAACAGGCAATACCATATATTATATATAAGAAACGTGTAGTGGGGGCCCATTGAGACTGTTTGTACCCGGGGCCCAGAATTTGGTGCTACCCCCCTGACCACGTTACCGCTGTCACCATCACACACACGCACGTGTCCGCGGCATTCTGAGTGATATTATTATAAATGGGCGGGTCATTCGGACATGTGATTGACTGCCAGCCTATTTCAGAACAGGTACTACCATATTGCCAGCCGTTTCTGATGATTTTTACTGAATTTTCAAGACCCACAGAATATTGTGTACTATGACTATCTGAAATCCAAAACCAGATTCTGAAAGAATGGACTGTCTACTTTCATCCGCAAAAATAATGTTGTTTCTAGCTTGTTTTGTTCCCCTGTAATCCCCAGTCAAGTAGAGGTAAGTTTTATTGAAATCACCAGAAAGCTGAGAAAAAAAGATGTGCATCTAGCTGTTTTCAAACCATTCACATAGCAATGCTGCCATCTGCTGACTTGATAAAATATTGCCTCAAGCCTTACATATGTGATACAATAGACATCTGGGAAAGTGAAAATAGCGGGAAACGCAAAGGCAGTTAATTATTTTTTAACGTGTTAATGAAAACGGTAATTAACGTGAATTAACGCGATAATTTTGACAGCCCTAATATATGTGTATGTTTTAGCTACGGCTTTATGTGCAGAGTCATTGTCCTGCTGGAAGGTAAATCTGTTGTTGCTCTAGCATTTCTTCTTCCACAATTGTCTTGCTGTTTTCTTCCACAATTGCCCTGGATTTGGCTCTGTCCAATTTCCCATACATTTTTTACAATCTTTCCTGTCTCACATGGAAAGCTTGTGTTTCACAGCAAGAAGGTACTGGGTTCAATTCCACCTTCAGGTCTTTCTGTGTGGAGTTTGCATGTTCATTTTAAATTTGTGATTGCATTTTAGCCTGATCAGACCGCACCACCGTCTTCCGTTAACTTGCAATTAGCTGTGACTGACCTCTGGCAAACTGCAAACGGGGCTCCTTATGTCAGTGCTTCTCAACCTGTGGGCCGTGGTTCATCAGCGAGCCTTGAGAAGTTGTTTTTGTGTGTCTTTGACAATGATCCAGTATCAGCCGATTGGTCAAAATAATGTGAAAACAAATGGCTTGTTGGTGCTTGATTGATTTTCTATACAAAACACTTTGATGAGACTTGGGCCTTGTTGATAAAAGCTGCAGTTTTGGGGAACACTGACCTATTGCTTTCTTTCAACAATGTAAATATATCAATACATGTGCAAGCCCCACTTTTATAAAAAAAAAGCTTTCACTCCACAGTTGTCTGTTCCTTTGTTGTGGTCTTTCAGAAAAAAAAAAACCCAAATAAAATGGTTATGTTTGCGGTCGTAAACATGACAAAATGTTGAGGTTGTATATACTTTTGCGAGCCGCTGTATATGCAATCGTAGAAGATTGATGTGTGAAACCAAAATACCATAAAGTCACATGTGTACTGTACACATTGTTCACCGTGATAACAACGTTGGCTGCATTGACCAGAAACAAACAACTACAGATTACACGTTCAGCTCGGAGGCAAACACATAATTAGCTTGACTCCGCTACACAACCGCTGTTTCCATGTGTGTTTTATTGAAATACCCAGCTTACATTTGTCATTGCACTGGGACAGAACGTGGCTCCAGTAGCCGTTTATTGGGGCAGCCCATCAGAACTATACAATAAACCTCCCTATTGCTACACAGGCTTTCTCCTATAGCCAAGCAAAACACATTATGTCGCTCCTGTTTAATTAAGAACAGTCACAGAAGCCAAACAAAGAGGACTTTCATTCGCACATGTCTCAATCATGAGCTTGGAACGTCTGTGTGTTTAGAAAAGGCTGGGCCCCGTAAAGTGACATGTTACTGTTTGAAATTTGCCGTGAAATATAGCGTGGCTGTGAATGTCAGCGATCGTATCAAAGCTTAGTCTGTTTTTAGCATAAAGAAGCCATTATTAGAAGTTATGTTTGAGCAGCGATGCAATCTGTTTTTCTTGTTTGGTTGCCATGGCGTTTGGGTGGAGGCCCTGCAAAGAGTTGGATGAAGGTAGGAAATACTATACTGTGGGCAGCATCCAAACATAAGACAGTATTGGATTCAAAATGTTAAAAATTGAATTCCACCGCAGTGAAAGACGGACAACTACGAGTAATTATAATGATTTATGTGTGTAACTGTGTACTTTCAGAAAACAATCCCTGTGAACAACAGTGCACTCCGGTGGGCAGATGGCCTCAGTGCTCCTGCTTCCCGGGGTTTGCCCTGGCAACGAATGGATTATCTTGTGAAGGTAATATTTACGAATACAAGTAGTTGATTTGATTTGAAATGCACCATTTTATACTCTAAAAACAGTTAATTGAATCATTGATTATACACCACAGGTTAATGCTGGAATAACTCCTTTCATTTCCAAATTTCGGATTGCTTTATGAAACTCAAAGAGGGTGGGCATTCAATCATTAATTTTTTTTGTAATTTGGATCCCCATTATAGCTTCAAGACGTGGTCGCTAGTCTGCCTGCGGTCCACAAAGGATCAATTCACAATAAAACATTCAGCGTGTCCTGGGTCTTCCCCGTGGGCTCCTCTTTGGCTATGTCTCTCAGCTGGCCTGGGAATGCCTTGGAGGCCCCCGGACGAGCTAGAGAAAGTATGTGTGGATAGGGAAGTTTGGGCGTCTCTGCTTAGACTGCTGCCCCCGCAACCTGGCAACGGATGAAGCGGAAGAAAATGGATGGATGAATAAACATTTCACATCATCCTTCATTTGTTTATTTTGTGTTCACCTTCCCCAGGACTACAGATGGAAAGCTAAAAACTATTTAAGAAACTATTTATTTCAAACATGCACAAGATATACCAACAATTATTCTCAGATAATAAATAGATAAAAGCAAACAAAAAATCCTGGGCATGGACCTGGTCAGCTGTCGATTGGGTCGCCCCGGGGACAATGAAAGAAATGTAGGTGACATATGTTTCCTGTGGAGAAGGAGGTGACACACTCCAAAGCACTCTTTCTGTGGCACAGATGCAGGAGAATGTTTGAGCTTTTACCGGGTTAAAAAATGTGTCCCTCATTAAAAAAAAACCTGGAGTGGTTAATAGATCCATCCACATTCAATTCTGAAATGCTCCTGTCTCATTGTAAAACTATGATATCATGCTCAGAGAAGTTTTCTGCCTATTAAAACAAAAGCAGAGCCATTACATGAGTTTTGGTCATTTCTCAAGTGAAATCACTTGCTGTGTTACAAATCACAAACTTTCTGTGATTGCGGCCGGTTATTGGAAAAAAAAAACAGAGTAATTAGCCTCATTGTCATGTCTAATGGTCAAAAGAAATGCATATTATTAAGATTAAAATAAAAGGGATCCGTTATTTGGCCCACTTTATACTACTTTAAAATATCTCTATTCTCTAACCTTACTTACTTCCACTTACTTCCTAATTAGACATTTCAGACACAATGCCTTCTTTCAGACCTTATGCTACTGTTCTGTTACTAAAAACAGAAACATTATAGTTAATCCATGGCTTCTCTTTTTCCTGAAGAATACAAGTTACAAGCATTTCACAAATTATGGCGTCACGACCTAAAGGTGCTGTATGTAGACTCCACCTCCTGCTCGCCTTGATAGAGATGAATTGTTTTGCTCACGGAATAACATTCAGGTTAATCTCACGTTTTCTTCAATAGCTGTGTTTTCATTACTTTGGCATGACCTCAAAGTCCCACATTTATTTTGCATAGTCACCGCAGAATCGTACATTGTAACCACGGCCGTAGCGTCTGTGAATTGGCACGCACTCCCTCCAATAACTTGCCCTTTTCCTCTCATCGCTGCTTTTAGATCCATAGAGCAGATACAGGCCTAATCCCCTTCACTCTCCATAATACCGCTGCATCCAGACAAAATACTAAATCAGAGGCATTCTTTTATCTCTGGGCTGAATCCAAAAGGATTATCCCAACTATCCATGCATTATCACACTCCATCTCCCCGACTACATACCATACACCCTTTATTTCTTGGCTCAGAGGACGTATTTTATTCTCCAGTCCTGCGCCCACTGGTCTGTAAGCTGTCTCAATAGGGATCATAATTCAATAGCCACTTTATCTTTTACAACAGCAGATTTTGTTATGACAGTAATGAAAAAAGAAGCTCAGGGAATGTACTTCCATGACACGCTGAAACAAATAACTCAAATTCTATCGCAATATAATGTGAGTGAGTTTGTGATGGAGTGCTTCCAGCCATGAATGTCCCTTTCATTTTTCATTTAAAGAAGAGACAAGATAATGGAGGGATTAGGTAAAGAAATCAGGAATAATAAATTGGGCATTTGAGTCATAGATAATCACAGTACATTAAAAAGAGTGAAGTTGGATGCACAGCTAAACAGAAGTGTTTTAAAACCTGAATTTGAACTTTGTCAGAGTAGAAGCCTGTCTCACATTTTCAGGAAGACTGACAGGGACTGTGCTCTTCAGTGTTCGAGTTGGTTCATGTAGCACTAACATGTCACAGATGAACTTGGAGAGACTTGGAACAAACAAAGCTGTTTTAAAGTCTATTTTCTGAGCCATATCAGCAGAGACCTGAGAAATGGACTAATATGGTCGTACTTCCTGGTTCTAGTCAGGACTCAGGCTGCAGCGTTTTGACTATTCTGTCAGGTTGTCACATCTGCTGTTTGCTGATTGATTGATTTATCTGTCAATCTGTGCGGATTAGACCCGCCCATTCAAAATGCCCCAGCTGTGGGCTTAGACTAACTCCTCAGTCTTGAATGAATAGGGAGTTTTCTGGCTTGTCAGGCGACTTATAAAGTGCTTTACAGGCTTGTCAAAGTCCCTCAAAGAGCTGCACTGAAGTCACTATCCTCTCTCTCCACACACTCGGTGGCGACAGGAGCGAGGCAGCCAGGGACTCACCAGATTCGGCTGCAGTATAATGCCCCAGGGATCATGGAACCCACAACCTTCTTGCTGAGATCAATTCTTGATACAAAAAAATGTCCTTATTCTGTGTCCTGACATAAATGGTTAGTATTTTGAGACCTCTAGGAACTCCAGGTGCCACAGTGGGGGGGTTATAATGTGATATTTTGTCCTTATCCAAGACACTTCTGCCATATTAAATTAAGTTAGATACATTCTCGTCCCCGTAGAGAAATGTGTCATCTCTATTTGACCTGTCCTGAATTTCCGCCAGGGCCTCTGTCAGGAAAATTAGTAATCGAACTTAGGACGTTCATGGTGAGAGGCGAGAGTTCTTAACCATTTAGCTCCTGAGTACGAGTCTTGTGTGTATGAGTGAATGGTTGGCTGTGGTCGGAGGGGGCCAATGGCACATACTGGTTGCCTTGCTTCTGTCAGTGTGCCCTAGGGCAGCTGTGCCTTTAGTCGTAGTTCAGTCGTAATGAATAATGCCACGTGAAGTGTCTTTGAGAGAAAGTGCTATATAAATCCATCCATTATTATTATTTGTAGTAGTAGTAGTTTAACACTTTTTAAATGCTTTTTAATGATTTTTAACTTGTATTTTTTGATTGTATTAATTCTTGAATTCATGAATTTTATGTGATTTTATGATAAAACACCTTTATGGCTCTATAAATAAAAATTGATTGATTAAATTGTAGTAGTATAGAATTGATTTTCTACATTCTTCAATCTATCAGCCTGAGACAATGGAAATTCAAGACCAATAGTCAAAGATGTGTCAATCCAAAACAAAAAGACGGTTCTCATTCGTACAGTACATTGAATATTTCATGAGGATGTCTTTTGAACCTTTAGTTGAGCTCTGAGTCCCAGATGGGTCAAAGTGGCTCTATAACATGTCACCTCCTTTACTTTGTCCTTGTTTGCTCCGCAGACATAAACGAGTGTCTGTCGGGGCTGGTCTGCCATCTGAACGAGCGCTGTGTGAATACTGCAGGGAGCTACAGCTGTCAGAGGGTCCTCACCTGTCCCCCCGGGTACCACATCCAGCAGGACATGTGCGAGGGTAAGTCCACCTGCAGCAGATGGGACATTATACATATGAGATCCAGCGCACATACAGGACAGTAGTAAGAGCACACAGGGAGCATACAAAATATACAATATTCACTTCTTTATCTACGTTTTATCTACTACTATCATTAAGAGACAGAGTGTGCATGTCTCGGTAACACAATAGATTAGCCCTCACCAATTAACAGCCAATTAAGTGCTTATTAGTGCACCTAACCCTAAACCAAGCCCTAGCCCTAACCCACATGGAAAAGTGTCAGTCAGAAGTCAGTTTGATGTTGGGCGGCACGGTGGCTGAGTGGATAGCACTCTCGCCTCTCAGCAAGAAGGTCCTGGGTTCGAATCCCGGTTGGACCAGGGCCTTTCTGAGTGGAGTTTGCATGTTCTCCCCGTGTCTGCGTAGGTTTCCTCCGGGTGCTCCGGTTTCCCCTACCACTAAAAATATGTCTGGCATGTGCCTCCTGTACTGGCACCCCTGCTCCCAAAAATAACAATTGTAAACCGCTTTGAGACTCCGATGTGCAGTGAAAAGGCGGTATATAAATAAAGATTACTTACTACTTACTACTACTTGAATAAGGCCATGTAGAATAAGGACTAATAAGTACTGTGTAAATACCAATTAAGAGATAATTAATTATAAATGATGCACTAATTAGCACTTGATTAGCTGTTGATATGTGAGGGCTAATCTAAAGTGATACTCATGTCTCTTGCCATTTATTGTTTTTGATGTTGTAGAAACATACACATTGGAAAGATTACTGTTTCCTGGCTTTTTCTTTTTTATGTTTGTACAATTATTATACGTCTGATGGTTTGGGTTTTTCATGCGTTTTAAACTTGTCTCAAATAATTTGAAATATCAATTGTGTAGACTGCAGGTAACAAAAATGAATACTGAACCTATTTTTACAAAATCCAAACATTTCAGAATCAAAAAGTTCGCAGTCTCGTCCAACAGACTTTTTGTCAGTTATTTCAACTCCACTTCTAAATTCATCAACTATTAGAATATTGTTCTAGAAAATAATAGCAATAAACAAACATTTCATCTATATTTAAGACAATTTTCAGTGTTGTAAAGCAGATCTGCTGTTGCCTTTTTCGGTAAACACACCGGCGCATCAAAGCCCCGATCTACACTATCCATTCACTCTCTCATTTACATTCATACCTATTGTGCATTTAGTGGCAGGGGAACCTACGCAGACTCGGGGAGAACATGCAAACTTCACTCAGAAAGGCACTTTTCCGACCGGGATTTGAACCCAGTCCACTCATCCACCGTGCCACAGCTCTTTCTTGGAAATGCTCTATCTATATATATAGTGTAATATCATATACTGTACATATAGGGCAGGATACGTAGATAACGTGACATTCAGTGGACATTCTGAAATTGCATTGGCATTGGCTGTTTACAGATGAATGACATGTTCAGGCTCAGCAGGTCTCATTGTACAGCCTGACAGCAGCAGGAAGGAAAGACTTTAATGAACAGGGACTTTGGCAACGTGTTTCGGCCACGTAGGACCGTCTTCGGGGCATGTGGGGGTGTGTTGTAACATGATCGAAAGCTCAATAAAGAAGATTTTGCATACAAAGTCCTTTCCAACACGAGTGGGACTTTTGTTTTCAATGAGTCCCTTGAGTTTATGGACCTACAGTACCGCACTTCCCTCCATTCAATCTTTTTTTTTTTTTGCTTTGGGGGAGATAGCTTCAGAACATTTCGCCTTCAAAGTCTCGCCCAACTTAAATACTAATCTTTTTCTCTGCTCCATAAGTTTTGTGGATGCTTGGGCAGTGGGCAGACCGTGGAAGAGTTGAAATGCGTTTGGAGTGTGTTCTTAGCAGCTTTGCCACTGGGCACATTAAGCTCTTGAGGAGGAGAGTCTGGTGCTCGGTGAGAAACGGAAGTGCTGCTTGATCAGGCGTCTGCACTTCACCGCAGTGAGCCCGGTGGTGAGTGTCCAAACAGCTGCCACTTCAAACGCCGTGCACAAAAGAAGAGAGCGAGCCGATCGATTTGATCCGTTTTTTGTATCGTAATTAAGAGAACCTTTACTCCAGATATCATCGTACAAAACTAATGAACCACTTAGCTCCTGTTTCCACCAACCTTACTCGGCTAGAGTACTCTACTCTACTTTATTTCACTCTCTACTCTACTCTACTCGGGTCTAATCTATCCCAGTTGAGAGTGTTTCCACCGTTTCCTGTTACTAGTACCATGGTTACCAAGGAATATTGCCAGATACTGGTTTGTTGTGGGTTGGATGCTAAGATCCTGTAGTAAGTGTAATGGAAACGCAACCAGGTAGAGTAGAGTAGAGCAGAGCTTTACATGATTTTACTACGGCTACCAAAGAATTTCCACGGATACTGAGTGTTGTGGTAGGTTTCTAGTATACGGTACTTGAAACTAGAGCTCAATGGAAACACAACCAGGTAGAGTAGAGTAGGGCTGGTGGAAACAGGGCTTAACTCTATCGTCATAACATCTGACCAGACATCCTCATCCGAGAGAATCTGTTATTTTTAATGAAAGAACAACTATGACGCATTATTTGTGTCATATTTACATTGGCGTTCCATGATTTTGATGTGGATACAAATGACAAATGTGAACTTTTAGACGTAAATCCAACATTTGTAGAGAATGTAGTTTGCCTGAAGGCATCCCCGACGCAGATTTAAATGTGACGCTTTGTTTTGGCAGAATAATGGTCACGATTTCAAATGAAGAAGGACCACTGAAAATCAAGTAATTTCATAAAAGCAGATCCAGACACACACAGAGGATGGACAGGCTGTAGATCCAGGACTCAGGCTGTGGAACTATGTGCATTATACTTTGGACGGTTGGACATTCCTTTAAAGGTCGGGTGAGGAGTTCAGCTTCATCTGGGATATCCTCACTTTTTTTGTGCTGACTCGAGAACATCTTGTGAACGCTGTAAAAGGACGTGTCTGGGGAGGGGGAAGTCTGTCCCTATCTTTGCTCAGGGGCTGCTCACCTGTCCATAGGCAGCTTACATGAAGATAGAGCGTGTGTACTGGTTTCAAACAGGGAATCTTTTCTGCAGAGAGACCCTAAAAAGTCTCATACTTATAAATGTATTTTATCAGTATGAGTAAGCACATTTTACTGTTGTTTTTTACCGTGAATTTAGATTTTTTTTTAAACAAGATCAACACATTTAGAGTGGAATACTAGAAATCTAAATATATTCATTTGTTTAATAAAATTTTTATACAGAGAAAATCCAATACATAACCATTCTTACTTATTATTAATGCCTATGAGCAACACAAACATCAAATAAGCCACATCCGACTCCGGCTATAGGTTCACTTCACTCACTGCTGCTTTTGTTTTTGCAATCATTTATAGCCAACGACTCCGGAGTGAAAAACATTACATCTTCTTAACAGTTAAAAGTTTCAGCAGCACTGTTTCGTTCCCCTCCGGAGCGAGAGTGAAAGAATGCATTAGGTGGAGAGGTGAACAGTTGAATTGAGCAGGTGAACTGTGTGACTCTCCTCCTCCTCTGCAGGCCGCCGGTGCCAAGGCTCTGTCAGGAGAAACAGAATAAATCACCCCGCACTTCCCAAACAGTTATATTGTGTCGTTAGGGGCAACCTGTCTCCATCAGCCGCCGTGTCGTCATTACGGCTCTGTTTCTGCGCTTCCACGACAATTAACCCGTTTATTATTTGAAACAGACTCATTAAAGGTGCGCTGATCGGATGGGGTCTGCTGTCCGCTTGTTGCCATGGTGATGCTGGAACTTTGAATGGAATCGAGCTCAGTATCATAGAACATTGTTTTGACAGCTTTTCTTCAGAGCTGACACCAACACTTCATTTTGATTAATTGAGTCATCCACCAATTATGCTTTCAAATAATCAATTAGTTGTATAAAACGCAACGCAAAGCAGACATGAAGCCACCTGCTGGGCTGATATAGTTCCCCCAATATTTTACCAGCTAAAAGAGGACTAAAGTACAATAAAAACTAATACAAATAAAACTAAAACTAAAATGACATTAACAATATTCTTTTGTTCACTCTCTCTTTGTTCATTCTTATTTTTACTTCTATTTTCTGCTCTAGTACTGAAGTTTTCCAATATAAAGTGTAATATAGATCATATAGGCACACTTTTTTATATGACAATTAATTCAATTTTATTTTCTAATCTCGTTTTTCTTTATTTCACTTCTCTTTTTTGCATCTTTTATTGGATTTCTTCATCTAGCAGACATGATTTCTATGTTTTCTCTTTTTTCATATCTTTATGCAGCACTTTGGAAATGGTTGGTTTATGAAATGTGCTGTATGACTAAAGCTGTGTGTGTGTGTGTGTGTGCGTGTGCTTGTGTGTGTGTGTGTGTGTGTGTGTGTGTGTGTGTGTGTGTGTGTGTGTGTGTGTGTGTGCAGTGAAAGGTGATTCTAAAACTCAATCCAAACAACTTTATTCATATGGCACATGTCATAAACCAACTGTTTCCAAAATGCTGCATAGAGACAAAAACGTCAAATCAAATACTAAAATAGTTGTTGATTGAAAACTCAAGCAGAAAGAAAAAGTTGCGTACTGCCCCTTTAAGTGTGCATTTTAATATATATTATAGCTGTATGAATAACTAAAATACATCAGATAATGATTGGACTAACCCAATGAGAGTTGCTCAGAGGATGCAAGACAAGCCCACAGTGCCCTCCAGTGGTGGATTGTTGGTCTCACATGAGTTTGAGTAAATGTTTGTGACCTTGTTGATATTCTTGTTTTTTTCTTCTTGCAGATGTAAACGAGTGTGCGCAGAGTAGCCATAGCTGTGGTCCAGACTTTGAGTGTGTGAATACTCTGGGCTCGTTCCGCTGCAATCCCAGACCCCGGTGTCCGAGAGGCTTCAGTCAGGACCAGCAGGGACACTGTGCAGGTGATCCACGGGGGAAACTGTGGGGAGGCGTCTTTGAAAGCAGCGTGGAAGCAAAAATATATACACACGCATGCACAAACGAATCAAAATGGTCCGAATGCGGAATAGCCAAGACATCATTCTGCCTCCTTCTGTGATAAAGAGTCATTTTTTGCCATAGAATCTCACAATCTCAGCCTTAATGTCAGTATTTACAATGAGATTCTGAGTCTTTCACATGCACAACACAGCAACAGCATAAAATATACCCCAAAAATCAGAAAAGCAGGTTCACTGGTGTAAGGCAAGCCAACTCAAAGAGCTGTTTTTAACCTGGATTTGAAGCCTGTCCCACATTTTCAGGAAGACTGTTCTAGACTGTTCAGCTGCGTGAATCAGAATCGCTGCCTCCTCATGTTTAGTCCTGACTCTGGGCACCAGCAGGAGGCCAGTCCCTGTGCTCCTTATGTCACTAACACGTCACAGATGTACTTTGGTGCGAGGACACATAGAGACTCTTCCATGCTGACAGTTCAATCAAAGAATCATTAGAATTGTGACCATTGAAGAAAATAAACAATATAGAAAATAAAATCACATATTTGAAATGAGGCAAATCTTGGTCAAGTCTAATACAAAAATATACCTCAAAAATGACCATCTTATTTTACTGCCTAAACATATATTTTGATAATGTTTTTTTTTATTATATTACTATTATTGCACCACACAGCCTCAGTCCTGGTCTACAGTCGAGTCCTGGTCTACAGTCGAGTCCTGCATCTTCAGTCTGTTCGTCCGTGGGAGTAGTCAGGGTCCTTGAGGTTTCTCACTTTTTTCCCACTGTTTTTTTTTGGGTGAGGGTCTAAGGACAGTGATGATTTGGGATATTTTAGGACATTTAAGGACCTTTTTTTGTCAAAGATAATGGTCACCTCGCTCCCTATGGACCAATGGCTCCTATGTGTTTGTCATTATTGCATTTTCTGTTTGATTCTCTAACCTGTTGTTGGTGAATCAATTTTGTAAAGATGTCTGAGACGACTACTGTTGTGATTAAGGGCTGTGCAAATATACATTGAACTATTAAACAGGTAGAAAGAATAACATGAAGACATTTTACCTTTAGCTTAGCCAATATGAAAGAACTCGCACTGATAACAGATTCTTTCAGGGTTGGTGTCACTGCGTCCATAAAAGGAAACACATTTTCTCTTGTCTGAAAACTACTAAAACACATTAATTTCTCCAAACAGCCACTGGAACAGAGCACAGAGCTGATGCGGCGTCAGCGGGGTTAGATGCCACACAGACAGCAGATCAGAGCGGGACTAGTTGGGGGCTGAGAGGGGTGGATGAAAGTCTACGCTCTGCCCTGGTTCCGTACAAACCTATGCACTGGAATTAGCCCCCAGGGGAAGGAACTGAGGCATGTCGAGGCAGCCTGAGCACTGTAAAGACGAGAGCCAGAGAAACGCTCCGAGAAATGAGAAAATGTCACACAACAAAGTCAACCGGGGGGACGTGTCTGCGCGCTTTGATTTGCACTGAAGGAATTGCCCTGTAGTAGCTCCTGCCGCACTTTAGGCCGCACCCTCTTCCCGTTTTTTTAATGAAGAAATATTCAGCACTGACGGACAGTTCAGTCTGACGGGCACTGATTTTGAATGTGCGAAAATATCTTAATTTGAGATTTTTGGGTGAAAATTCAGCAATGCAACCAACAGTGAAGCTAAAATATGACAAACTCCTTCCACATCATGTCACATATATCAAGCTTTATCATAATAGCTCAGAGCAGTAAAAACTAAGAATATTTTGAAAAAGGACTTTATAGTATTCATACCGCATTCATCAACATTATAAAAGACAAAGGCAAGTGTCACTTAGCTGTGATGAGTCTGCATCATATATTAGTTTCACATTTTTATTTGAATCACACAAAAAAAGGCTAGTTAGTTTTGTTTTCTTAACTAGAAAATTACCGGCTGCAACCATTGCCACGTTATGGTAAATAATGTCATTTCACTTAATAAAAATGTAATTTCATATTACCAAAACTAATCAAAGGGCAAGAAGGACAGAGTTAAGCCCCGTTTCCACCAGCCCTACTCTACTCTACCTTGATTGAAAGTGTTGTTGTTGACAGAAATTGGTCAGAGCGCTGCTGGAAGTCTTTGGTTTTTTTGTTCCACTAAATTGACCTGGATACTGGTTTGTTGTGGGTAGGTTGCTAGGACACAGTACCAGATACCAAAGTGTAATAGAAACACGACCAGACCCAGCTGTGGCAGGAGCTCTGGTGTGTACTATCTGGTGCACACTGGGATAGTCTTGCACAGTTTTTACAATGTGATTTTACTGCAAAAGGCAAATACATTGTTGAATCTTGAATCTTGAGAGTAGAACCGAGTAGAGTGAGGTTGGTGGAAACGCAAATTTACATGCCAGAAGTTGCTGTTATTACCGTGGATCGATCTAAACAAACAACTCCTGGTCTGTGACTGATGAGAGACAGTATTGTAAGATGGTTGAAGGTGCATCATACGTCTCCTTTAACACAGACGCTGTTGTGCTCTGTTTAAGATGTGGACGAGTGTGTGCTGAGCCAGCCCTGTGGTCTGGGCTTCAACTGCATCAACACGGCCGGCTCCTACGTGTGCAACAGAAAGATCATCTGCAGCCGCGGGTATCGCTCCAGTCCAGATGGCTCCAGATGCGTGGGTGAGATGTGCAATTAGATGCAAATACTGTAAGATTGTGCACTAGCATTGTTTTTAAGCTTATAAACAAACCAATTCTGAGGTGTGGTCTTAGCTCATGTCTCTTAGGTAAATATTTTGATATCATTTTGGCTATATTTCAAAGATCATGAATGTTAGTGCTTGTGTTGAAGCCATTTTCGTGCTTTCTATAAAATAACACTCCTGACCATTCATAAAAGTTCCCATCCCAAAGTTATTAATAGCGTTTATTTCCCCTTTAACATCTTTGATTTTTTTGTGGGAGTTGTGGATGTGGTTCTTCATCCTCTCTGGTCTCTCTCTGGTCTATTTCTCTGGCCTCTCTGTCTCTCTCTGGTCCCTCTAGTCTCTCTTTCTCTGGTCTCTCATTCTCTCTCTGGTCTTTCCCCGGTCGCTGTCTCTGGTTTCTCTGAGCTCTCTCTCTGGTCTCTCTCTGGTCTCTTCCCGGTCTCTTTCTCTGGTCTCTCTGGTCTTTCTCTGATCTCTCCCCAGTCTCTCTCTGGTCTCTCCCCGGCCTCTTTCTCTGGTCTCTCTGGTCTCTCTGGTCTCTCTGGTCTCTCTCTGATCTCTCCCCAGTCTCTCTCTGGTCTCTCCCTGGTCGCTTTCTCTGGTTTCTCTGAGCTCTCGCTCTGGTCTCTCCTTGGTCTCTCTCGGATCTCTCTCCGGTCTCTCTCTGATTTCTCTCTGGTCTCGCTCTGGTCACTCTCTGATTTCTCTCTGGTCTCTTTTTGATCGCTCTCTGGTCTCTCTCTCTGGTCCCTATCTGATGGTAAAGCTGCCCTTTCTTCTAGGAAAAAAGCCTCTAGGTCTTGTAAATACCTGGAAGTTCCTTTCTCAAACTAAACCTTTGAGATGTCCTCAGAGCAGCTCAATAATGTTATCATTAGAAATATATATTTGGCAAGATATGGCTTCACACAGCCGCTGCTAATGAGTGGGAAAAAGCTGTTCATTCATAATCTCCAAAATATGACGAAAACAATTAATTCTATGTCCACACATGTACAACAAAGCCAATTATCCGGCAGTGTGGTCCTGATCATCATTTTGGTCAAACTGGTTTATTCATCCACTTGCTTTTCCCATTGATAATCTGAGTGCTATAGATAATCAACTCCATGCTTTGAGACTAAATTAAACTCACGTATGCCGGTCCACACACCGCAGCGGGCTTCTGGTCGACCTCTCTTGAATTATTCATAGCTGCATTTACTAAAACAGCCTTCAATATTTAATAAAGTAAACATCTGTGGAGGCAGCGAGATTGATGCCTGCTCATTTTTCTCATTTCACAGCTCGCGATCGGGCCACTTGTCTGAAAGCACGTCTTCACAGACCACAGTGGGATTATCAGTGCTCTGTTTGTTGATGTAACCTCTCTCTCTCTCTCAGACGTGGACGAGTGCGAGGGCGGCCTACATCGTTGCGGAGAGGGTCAGCTCTGTCACAATATGGCCGGCTCCTATCGCTGTGAATGCCAAACCGGCTATCAGTACGACTCATTCGGGAAGACGTGTGTAGGTGAGTGTGAGAACGTGAGGCAGCAGCTGAATATAAATGGGATACGTCGTAGTTTGTTTGTGTATTTTAGCTTCCCGGTGACAATGTTCAGAAATGATGATAGAAAGTGTATAGATAGTGTAAATAATCTATAGACACAACATTACTATAGCTGGGTTTCAGATGACATCACAACAAAGGTCAATAGCTTATTTTAAATTCAGAAGTGGGGAAATAGAAGAGATATATAGTTAAGGCAGGGCAAGTTTATGTGTATAGACAATGGCTGGACAAAACAAGAATAGAAACATTCACAAATAATTGCACTACATTCAAAAAACATTTTAAAAACTGAAGATGCAATCCTTCAGTTGTACGCACAGCTAAACAGAACCTGAATTTGAACATTGTCAGAGTAGAAGCCTGTGTCACATTTTCAGGAAGACTGTTGCTTCCTCAATGCTGCCTCCTTATGTGTAGGCCTGACTCTGGGCACCAGTCCCTGTGCTCCTCAGAGTCCGAGTTGGTTCATATGGCACTAATATATCACAGATGTACTTTGGTGCGAGGCCATGGAGAGGCTTATAACAATCAGAGCTGCTTTGAAGTCTATTCTCTGAGCCACAGGAAGTCCATTTGACTCCTGGTCTGCTTTAGGTACCATATTTATGATAAAGACAAAATGGCAAAAATGGGCAACTTTTAAACTCTCACATACTATATGATCCATCCGGGACCGCCCTCTCTCAGCAAATCAGCTCTCAGCCTGAAGTATCAAATAGTGACTCAACTTCTTAGTTTTGACATCAGCATTTGACCAGGAGGTATGGTTTATGGTGGTCAAGGTTCAGTTCTTGTAGAGCTGTGAATGGACTTGTCAACGAATCACAGCTTCATTAAATTGTTTGCAACATTGGTGTAATTGGACAGACAGACAGTGTATAATCAGACAGACAGACAGAGAGACAGAGAGACAGATGGACAGACAGACAGACAGAGAGAAAGATGGACAAAGAGACAGACCATGTAGTCAGAAAGACAGACAGACAGTGTATAGTCAGACAGACAGACAGACAGAGAGAGACAGATGGACAGACAGACAGACAGTGTATCATCAGGCAGACAGACAGACAGACAGACAGAGAGAGACAGATGGACAGACAGACAGCCAGATGGACAGACAGACAGACAGTGTATCGTCAGACAGACAGACAGAGAGAAACAGATTGACAGAAAGACAGACAGACAGAGAGAGACAGATACACAGACAGTCAGACAGACAGACAGACAGTGTATCGTCAGACAGACAGACAGAGACAGATGGACAGACAGACAGTGTATAGTCAGACAGACAGACAGATGGACAGACAGTGTATCGTCAGACAGACACAGAGAGACAGATGGACAGACAGACAGACAGACAGACAGAGAGAGACAGACAGACAGTCTATAGTCAGACAGACAGACAGATGAACAGACAGACAGATTGACAGACAGACAGACAGTGTATAGTTAGACAGACAAACCCTGATGAATACATAACCCCCTGGCACAGGTAAGCTACATAGTCTCTCCATCTTACTTGTGTTTTTCTGCTGATTATGACTTGTTTTCAGCGGCTGCAAATTAGTCCCTAAATGATCACAAACATTACACACATATTCAGGTGAAACTCAGAGAATAACAATATTTCAAAAGTTATTTACTTAAGAATTCACTCGTGTTCTGAGTTTTACTTGATCTACCTGTCTTACCTGTCTTATTCAAAAGTGAATGTGGGATATAGTCCATTTCACTCACATTTGTTCCAGAGGCTGCATCAGTACAAGTTGTTTTATTGTGTTGAAAAGGGATCAGACACAGCTTTGCACACTTCACAGCAGGCTGCAGTAAACATTTGGACTCATCCTGGTTAATTGTTCAGTAAACACAACACATAATAGTTGTTGTTTGTTCGACCTCTTCCATTATTCAGTCTCTGTGTCACTTGCTTATTCCTGCCCACACATCTCTGCTGCTTACTATTCCACAGCGGTGCATCAGTTATGGAGCCGCTGCTTCTAAAGCTGCTCAACGCACACGCTGCCCTCTGCTGTTTGAGATTCAGCACTGTGACCATCTAAAACGGACTCCACTCAAGTGTGTGTGTGGATGGGTGTGTGTGTGTGTGTGTGTGTGTGTGTGTGTGTGTGGGTGTGTGTGTGTGTGTGTGTGTGTGTGTGTGTGCTGCCATCAGGACATTTGCAAATATGCACACAAGCACACACACACACACTAATCCTGCAAAGTAGACTGGGGAATCAAACTATCAGACCAAAATGTCAAAAGTAATCAAGGTTTTAAGAACAAAACAAAAACAACTGGGCTGGAGGCTGGAGGTTGAAGGTTCAGAAAAAACTGGCACTTGGCAAAGTCTGGACCAAAATTGTCAATCTGGAGGAAAAATAAAGCACTCTACTGTAGTATGAAAGTAAAATCAAAATGAGAAACAGACCAAGCCTAAGCGGTTAATACTGAGAATCTAGCTCATGTTGAAGGGTGGAGTGGGTCTTTATACTGCAGAGGTGAAGAAGAGGAGGAGGATGAGGCTGCAGGTGTGTAGTGGGTTGAGCCAAAGACAGGACCAGGACTTCAGACACTCCGCCCAGCTCCAGGCAGACACAGAGGGAAGGAGGGAGAAAACACCGGGAACCAGAACTCTGACATCAGCTGAAACTCGGAAAACCTGAATATTGTTCAAAAGTGAATTTACTTCTGCAATTCATTTCAATCCATCCATCCACTTGCTTCTTTGTGATACTATATTTGTGTTAGATCCATCAGATTTTTTTTTTTTACATCATGTAGATCTGGAACAATCTTCCTGAAAATGTGAGACAGACTCCTACTTCAGACTCAAACCAGTCCTTTTACAGTAGGCTGTGTATAAAGGTGAAGGACTTTGTATTGTTTCAAGAACAGGAGCACTTTTTTTGCTTAATTCTCAGTGACACATTTCTTGTCAAAATTGTCCTGTGAACTTGTTATACTTGTTCCATTGGTGAACAAGAAAATATCAGTCAGCCACTTAGAATAATATATACTGTAATTACTTAATTCAAGCCCTCCATTATTTTTGATCCTGCACTGGAGTTCACCATTATCTTGACACAAGCTCTCGGGATAGAAAAGATTGGAGAATTTTATCACAATCCACTCGCAGTAAAAATATAGAAGAATTTTCATTACAGTACCTCTGTATCACATCTATGGAGTTTTAATATCTTCTGTTCTATTCTCAGTTGACATGAAAGAGAAAGAAAAGAAAAACACAGAAAAGTGGCCAAGCAATTTGAGCGTGTCGGTCAAAACCCAAATTGTCGCATTTACGGGGTCAGGAGTTTCACTGATCCATATGGAACTTAAGTGTTCCGAGGAAGAAGAGCTTGTGGCAGGTGCACAGGAAACAGACCACTCACTCTTGATGGAATCATAGAAGCTGTTTCTCCAAATACAAATGTTCTGCTTTATAGTCGAGTATGTTGTGGATAAACACATGGATGGTGCTTGTGCTTCACAGAAAGAAAGGTTCTGAGTTTGATTCCACCTCCAGACCGAGTCTTTCTGATTGGGGTTTGCATGTTCTCCCCATGTCTGCGTAGGTGTCCCCCAGGCGCTCCGGTCTCCCATACCACTAATAATATGTAGAAGTAAAACTTTGCACATCAATTGCTGGAGCAGGTGCGTTATAGATGTGGGAGAGGGAGTCCTGGTGCATATGGCAAATTGGCTGATGAAAAGTTACAAAAAGTTACATTTTACAATTAATATTATAAAATTTTTTGCAAGGACGGCAGTGAAACATTCTTCACTGAGGATTTGATGCACCAGATACAGTAGAGTAGAGTAGAGTAGAGTAGAGTAGAGTAGAGTAGGGTAGAGTAGAGTAGAGTAGAGTCGAGTCCATACCTCTATGTGAAAGCTAGATCCCATTAGACCTCTAAAGCTAAGCACGTAAGATCCTGGTTAGTACACTGATGGGAGACCTCTGGGAACGACAGGTGCTATATTGGTGCAACTTCGGCTGTAAAGTGCTAGACTGTTGTTTTGTCAAGACACTTCACTCACATTGCCTAGATGAAGTCTGGTGTGTGTGTGGATGGTTGGTGGGGGTCGAGGGGCTGATGTCACCAACAGGTTGCCTTGCTTCTGTCAGTGTGCCCCAGGGCAGCTGTGGCTTCAGTAGTAGTTTATCACCACTGATATGGAGTGAATGAATAATGACATGTGAAGCTATTTTCTGACAATCTAAAACTGTTGCATTATTATTAGAGTAGTGGGTAGTGGTAAGTAGTGGAGTGGAGTAGGGCTGGTGGAAACAGGGCTAATCTCTTTGGATTGTAAATGAAAACGCCAAAAGACTTTATTTCTGTACATGGCTCCTCAGATGTGAACGAGTGCTGGCGTTACCCGGGCCGCCTGTGTGCCCAGACTTGTGACAACACCCCAGGCTCCTACCGCTGCTCCTGCACCGCCGGCTTCCGCTTATCCGGCGACGGCAACAACTGTGAAGGTACGGCCTGACAATGTGGGTGTGAGAGCTGTGTGTGTGTGTGAGAGAGCTGTGTGTGTGTGTGTGTGTATGTGTGTGTATGCAGGAGCAAGTTTCAGCATGCTCCAAGAATATGTGTGTGGAAGTACAGTTCGGCAGTGTGCGTGGGTATATGTGTGTATTTATGTGTGTGTGTGTGTGTATGTGTCTGGTGGTTGACATGTCAGTGAAAGTGCAGGGAGCTTCAGGATTATGCAGCAGTTGTTATTTGCCACACAGCACAGAGGGGCCAGATGTTGGTGATGGATGTGAAAACTTGTGCGTTCTCTTAAAGAACACATTTGATGCTTAATTGTTTTCTAACATTCTTCAAATGTTCCAACATTGCTCCCTTGTTTAAATCACAGCTGGAGTTCTTTCAGTTCCATCCACACAAATATCAGGAACAAATCGACACAAACATATCCCTCTGTCTAAGTTCATCTTTCTCAAATTCCCTTTCCCTTTCACCTGCCAAACTTTATTTTTTCCACTTGGTGTTTTAACGGCTGTGATGAATCCAGAGACTGAAAGTATCACCTCTGATTTTGTTTTGGGAAGTTCTCGAGTCAAATGATGGTCTTTACTACTGTGTGCTTTAATTAAATCCCACCACAAATATTTACTTCCTCCACTAGATGGAGCTACTACTACCTCCAATATGTTTTTTAAACAATTATATGTTTTAAGAAATGACCAAACCATGTAAAATGATATGTTCTTGAGATGAACTTTAAGGTTCAGAATGACCACAAAGAATATAAAAGTAAGTAAGTGTTTATTTCAAACTTATATTTCGGAAACAGCAAAAAACAAAACAAACAAGATTCAATTGGAAAAATACAGTTTAAAAAGGGGTTGGATGAAGCAAAGGCTTATTGGGCCTGCAGCCCTCATTCATAAACTGTGTCTCTATAATAATTTTTATTTTCCAAAATCTAAATGATGCAGCATATAAATGTATTGTTTTGGTCTGGTTTATATTTGCATAATGTTGATGGAGCATCCAGTTAAACTTTCTGACATTCATCTAACATTTTGCTACTGCGTCATCACTAATTAAAGCTGGGGAACCTGACTTGTTTTTATCAAATGATATATTTTGTGTGCGTGCGTGTGTGTGTTTGTGTGTGTGTGTGCGTTTGTTTTGTGGACATATGAGGACTTTTGTATGATAACACACCTTCAACATCAGGACCTGAGGAAATGTGGGGACTTTCTTCAGGTCCCCATTTTTCCATGAATACTACAGTGTTGCAGAGGCCCAGAGGAAGCTCCACACCAAAATTGTGTGTGGAGCTCCACTGTCCCAAAATGTCTACAAATAGTGAAAATGTGTGTCGGGGCCAAAACACTCCGTCCCAAAAAGTTTGATGTGCCCCCTCTGGTCGTGCATGGAACTACCTTAACACACGTTTAACACACACACTTGTCCTCATATGTCACCTATTTTGTCACAAACTCAAATACATTCCCAGAGGTGGGTAGAATAGCCAAAATATTGACTCAAGGTAATTTATAAAGATACTTGAGTAGAGTAGTGAGTGAGTGTTTGTAAAAAAACACTTTCAGCCAGAAGGGGCCTTTTGGAATGGAGCTTACATGTTCTCCTTGTGTCAGTAGATTTTTAATCGCATGTGTTTTTTCCACCGCGGAACGTTCCTCACTGGAGGATATGTTTCAGACTGACCGATTATACTGGCGCACCAACTGAGCTCCGTGACTTTTCTTGTTCAAAAGTACATTATAACAAGCACAGACCAACTTTAGCGGTCTGAGTAGTGAGCGAGTGAGTAAGAGACGGGAAAGAGCGCTGTGTATGGAGCTATGGACTCACTGTGTGAGGAGGAGGAGCAGCAAGCGACTCCTCGGAGAAGGAGGAGGATGCAAAGAAGGAGCAGCGACACAGGTGTGTGAGCTGCTATTGCTGAAGTTTTAGTTTGAATGCACACATAAAAAACACCCGTGGCTAGCCCAAAGTAACCATTCACATGAAACGGACATTTTAGGACACATTTGAAGAGGATCTGATTATGGATGTAGGTTCGGTATATAAATGGGTAACTCACCGCAGATGGTCAGAATTATTTGTTCAGTTTTCATGTAGTTCCAGAGAGTTTTTGAACTAGCTAGCTTAGCTGTTATCCGCCTAGCACAATAGATCCATGGCCTAGCCACATCACAGCGAAACCTTATTTATTTATTTTATTTGCAGTCATTAAATACATTTTGAATATTAAGGGCTGTCTAATATTTGTTCGAATATATATATTTTTATATTCAAATTATATTTGAATATCGGATTTCGAAGTCAAAGCCCTAGTGCTCACTGTTAATGCAGTGGATTTTGGTTATAAAAAGCGTCTGTTGTTGTCAGAGTGTGTGGAGGCGATAACAGATAAGTTATTTGATGGAAAGAAGTCCGTCTGCTCCCCTTATCATCCTCAATGAAAATGTGTTGCTTAACCCTCTATGCACATGGGTCATTTTGGGGAACTTTCCTCGCCTGGTTTTCTTTGTGTATAATTTTTCATAAAACAGTCATCTTTTGATGCAGAGTCAAGCAGTAAACTTTGTTTTTTTTCAGTACAACCTGGGGTTTTAATATATTCATATTGTAAAGCTGTCATATGAATTATATAAAAATTATGGAATCATGAAGACAAAGAAAAAAATCAAACGGAAAATCAATTTAACAAAAATGTATTGAAAAAACACAATGAAATTGTATGAACAACTTTTTACACTGCATAGAAATGTTATTTAGGGACTTGGGGATAATGGGGAAAAAAATTGAATCTCTAACTATTATACTTTTTAAAAAATTCCACTATAAAAGCAAAAAACTCTGTACTCCTGATGCCCTTCCTGAAGCAGTTTGTCTATAATGCTGGGGTTGCTTCTGTAGCACAGCTGTAAAAAACGTAAAACATAAGAAACTGAGCCAGAAAAAAAAAAACATCAATTATTTATATAATACATATATTTATATACATCATATACACATAATGTAATTTTACTGTATTTATTATCGTCTTTATCAATAATGCGCACTCTTCAGCCGGTTATTGCAATCGCAGCTGTAGTTTCAACTGTGGGACACCAAGTACACACAGAGGAGTGAGACATCTCACTCTCTGACAATCTTTGGCAGTCCCCGTGTGTTTGTATCTCACAGCTGTTTGTACCTCACGGGTCACGTTTTGGACACGGACTTTCAGACAAACGTAGTTTATCCTCTGTGCATCGCACAGACAAATGAATACGTACTTCACAGAGGAAAAAAAAGTAAGTTGCTACGTTTTACCGTTCGCGAGTAAATTGATCATTTGTAAAACATGTGCATGCATCGGCGCCGATGCAGACGGGTTCATAGGCTTAAGCTTTCAGTCATTATTCAATGGTAAACTTAAAATCCATGTGAAAAAAAATTACTTCTTACTGTTCTCAGGACAGATATTGCGATTAAAATGCAATTATTTGCGATTAATCACAAAGCCTCTAATTAATTAGATTATTTTTTTAATCGAGTCCCAGCCCTAAAAAAAAAAAAAAAAATTCTAAAATAAAGGTATAATGTATTTGTCCACCTACAGAGTTACTCTCCGTGAAAGGAGTAACTATTGATAAATATTGTTATACTGTAGGTCCTTATATCTCACTCAGACCTGATGTGTGTGTTGTAGGTCCTAATATCTCACTCAGACCTGATGTGTGTGTTGTAGGTCCTAATAACTCACTCAGACCTGATGTGTGTGTTGTAGGTCCTAATAACACACTCAGACCTGATGTGTGTGTTGTAGGTCCTAATAACTCACTCAGACCTGATGTGTGTGTTGTAGGTCCTAATATCTCACTCAGACCGGACGTGTGTGTTGTAGGTCCTAATAACTCACTCAGACCTGATGTGTGTGTTGTAGGTCCTAATAACACACTCAGACCTGATGTGTGTGTTGTAGGTTCTAATAACTCACTCAGACCTGATGTGTGTGTTTCGTGTCCGGTGTAAACGCGGCATATTGTGGTTAGCGCGCTAACCTTGAGGTCGTGCACAAAGACTGTCCACAACATTCAGCTTCGTGTCCAGGTTTGGGGTGATGTGTCCACTGAATTTGAGTGTTTGAACAAAGCAAAGAGGAGAAAACCTTTTAGAATTAGGTTTAGTTTTAAGAAAGACCTTCACGTAATAACGTTTTTTTGTGAGTCATTGTCTCTCTCTGGTCTCTTTATGGTCTCTCTCTGGTCTCTTTCTCTGGTCTCTTTATGGTCTCGCTCTGGTGTCTCTCTGGTGTCTCTCTGGTCTCTTTATGGTCTCTCTCTCTGGTCTCAGTCAAAACTATTGAACTTAAACCCAGGTCAAAATACTGATAAACTCTTTGATTTGTGAGGACTTTGTGAACTGTGAGAAACCTACTGAGCCAAATATCAGTAAAGATATAACGTTATTCTTATAAAAATATGTATTTTATTGATTCATATTTATTGTTTACTATAATGTTTAGGATAGCACAAGTTTGTGATACATTTAAGTTGTTATTGTTTTATGCTTGATATAAAGGATTCATTCATTCATAGATAATCAAAACAAGGACAAACTCTGAAGTAGGGATGTAAAAAACTGAATTCTCATGACGACTACCGAGCCTCATTGACCAGTTAAAACCGGTTAACCGCGTAGTTTAAAATATTCCATGTTCAACATTACACTCTTTTGTTGATGATACTTTGCTCATTTGTCGAGACTCCGATGAAATCAATGAAACGTGATGTTCGTCCAGACCTCTGACTGCGCTGAGACCTGTTTAATGTCACAGCAGAACCTGAATGTCCTGCACACAGACTGTCCTGCGTGAGCTCCAGCGGCGGCAGAGTTCTCAAGTCACGCACCGGCAACAAAATTATTATTATTATTAGTTTATTACAGAAACAACTAGGAATGCACCGATCCGATACTGGTATCGATATCGGCGCCGATACCAGAAAAAATACTGGATCGGATATCTGCGTAGAGAGGCGCTATGCTGCCAATCCATTTTCTTTTCTATTTTAAAAAAAAATTATATATATTTTTTAATACATACCAGGTACTGCACAATGTCTTAAAATACATTGTGCATAATGTACATATACGTATAAAATGAATTAATTAAAAGTAATTTATCAGATCTCACGTACACGTCACTTCCTCGTGGCGCTCTACAACAACAACAACACAGCGTAGAATCAGCGTTGTTCACGCGGCGGTAAACTAGCGAAATACAACACGACTAAGCACCACGAGAAACAGCATGGGGAGTTTTTGCATCGAAAGGAGATTACGTGAAAACAACGAGACACAGATGACACTGACGCAGCGTCACAAAAAGCTTTTCAGCAACAATCCGAAAGTGTTGGAGTTCATCAGTTTGGGCTCGCAGCCCCATAGACCATTTGGAACCCAGGTACATGCCATCGCCAAATACATATCTGAAATCCAGTTAAAGCTACGGTACTATTATTAATTTACATTTTCATGCAGCGTGTTTTGTTTGTTGTAAGTGTTTATTTATTCAAACACAGTTAATATAAATACATTTATATTCAATAAATGTATAAGGTATAATACAGTGTTGGAATGCTTAATGTGAACATTGAGCAGCTCTTTATAGTTGCAGTATTGCACATTTATGTTGAATCCATTTTTATCTGGAAAGTTTAGCGCTTTAGTTCATCCACTGCTTTTGCAGTTACTTGAACAAAGAGTTCAATTATTAAATACATTTTAGCATGATCATTTACGGTATCGGTCAATATCGGTATCGGCAGAAACCCATAGCTCTGGTATCGGTATCGGTAGTAAAAAAGCTGGATCGGTGCATCTCTAGAAACAACCATGTGTTTTAAAATTATACAGGATAAAAACAACAGGAAATTTTAAAAGAGAAGTCCCTCTGTGCACATGCCTGACAACGGTTGCTATGTTGTCAGGTAACCCAGATTGTCTTTATGAAGTCATTCTAGAATGTCGGCTTTAAAAGGTTGCCTCAGGAAGATGTAAACAGGCCAAGGTGAATATCTGTCCGACAATAGTGTATTTTTTTAGCACATTATAGAAACAGAAGCAAACGCAAACACAGACAACATGCAGCGTGGACTCCCCAGTGAAGTCCACAAGACCGACCTGTCTCTTCTGTACGAACTGGCATTACTGCACCACCTGCAGCTGCAGTTTAATGAGATGGGAAAAGAGGGCCCTTGCCATGCACCGAGCTTCCACATAGAGCTGAGAGTAGGGGACCTGGTGGGATGTGGTTTAGGCCCCACCAAACAAAAGGCCGAGCTAGGTGCAGCTAAGGTGGTTTTGCATCAGCTGAGGAAGCTTCCTTTGCCAGAGGACGTGACTCCTTACTGGTCCAAACCGCACATGGAGCTGGTGGACCCCTCACAGCGGGTCTACTTCTTCTACAAGAAAGACCCCATCAGTGCCCTGGCAGAGATCCTGATGGTGCGGAAGCAGAGGCCGGCCGAGTACAGGGTGGTCGGCTTCCAACATCGTGGCTACTGTGCGTCAGAGTTCTGTATGGAGGTCAGATTGGTCAGATTGAAACAAGAAGACGGCCAAGCTGGAGGCAGCAGAGGCGATGCTGCACATGATGGGGTTCAAAGAGCAGATGGAGCTGGACAACCCTACGCTGTCCCCCTCCGAGGAGCTCCTCTTCCAGCAGAGGATCTTCAAACTGCGAGAGACAGAGAAGCTCGAGGCCCGGCAGAAGTTTAAAGATACTGTCACACCAGCCCAGAAGGACACACGTGCATCCCAGAGAGAGGGGTCCCCATCGGCCCGAGAGGAGACCATCCCAGAGAAGCCTGTCTCTGAGGAGCCAACCCTAGTGGAGCCAATACTCATGGAGCCAATACTCGTGGAGCCAATCCTAGTGGAGCCAATCAAAGAGGAGCCAATCAAAGAGGAGCAAATCAAAGAGGAGCTCATCAAAGAGGTCTCTATCTCTGAGGAACCAATCATAGAGGTCCCTATTCCTGAGCAACCAATCATAGAGGAGCCAATCAAAGAGGAGCCAATCAAAGAGGAGCCAATCAAAGAGGAGCCAATCAAAGAGGGGCCAATCAAAGAGGAGCTCATCAAAGAGGTTCCTATCTCTGAGGAACCAATCATAGAGGTCCCTATTCCTGAGCAACCAATCATAGAGGAGCCAATCAAAGAGGTGGCAATAAAAAAGGAGGCAATCCCACAGGTTTCTGTCTCTGAGGAACCAATCATAGAGGAGCCCAGACAAGAGCAATCAATCCCGGAGAACCCAATCCTAGAGGAACCTCTTTCTGAGGGTTATGTCCCCGAGGAGCCAATCACAGAGGTGCCTGTCCCTGAGGAGCCAATCACAGAGGTGCCTATACCTGAGGGGCCAATCACAGAGGTGTCTTTCCCTGAGGAGCCAATCACAGAGGTGCCTGTCCCAGAGGAGCCAATCACAGAGGTGCCTGTCCCTGAGGACCCAATCACAGAGGTGCCTGTCCCCGAGGAACTAATCCTGGAGGAGCCTGTCTCTGAGGATTTTGTTCCGGAGGAGCCAATCACAGAGGTACCTGTCCAAAACGAGCCAATCACAGAGGTGCCTGTCCCCGAGGAGCCAATCACAGAGGAACCAATCATAGAGAATCCAATCACAGAGGTGCCTTTCTCTGAGGATCTAGTCCAGACCCTTTGCACTGTGGCTCAGACTTCTCCAGAGCAGGACAGTCTAGTAGATCTTCCTTTGTCCCTGGACCTCATCTCTTCTCTTGACCTTGAGAGTCTGGTGCAGGACCGTAACACACCTGAGGTTATCCAAGAACCTCCTGCTCCAGAAACCCCAAACCTCCAGGACTTAAGCAATCCTTCAGAAACTATCAGTCCACCAGAGAAAACCGTCCCACCAGAGACAGAGGACGTCAGCTCCGATGCCGCTCACTTCATGGTTTCAACGATGAGCCGAAAGCTCTTGGACAAATCCCCCGTGTCCCTGGACATTAGGGAACAAGGAAAAGTAATTTTGCGACTGCGTGAGGTGGAGCGAAGAGTCTCCATGCCCCAAGGAACAGACCTGAAGAACAAAGACCTCAAAACTAAAGCTAAAGAGGTGGCTAGAAGTCTCCGGGAAGAGCTGGGACCCATCTCCTCCGCCCTGCTCCAGAGCGACTGGTTTGTGGAGGCAACGGTGCGAAATCTGAACATCCAGCTCCAAGACTTCGACGAGGACCGAGGCCGACGACCAGGACGCTTCTTCTCCCGAGTTCTTAAAATGTTCAGGACCAAGAAGAGCAGAGTGTCGCCTGGTCCTCTGAGAGCATACATCAGATCAGCGTCTTAAGAACACATCACTCCTTCCTAAGGTCACCTTCACTTACTGTAGGAGGTCACCGCAGAAGGGCTGGGAACATAAAAAAAACATAATTTAGACAAAAAATAAGAAGCAAGAACAACAACAAAAATTCTATAAAATTAAGGTTGAATTCATACAAAGGGAAGAAAGAAAAAACATTGAAATTTGAAAATCAAATTGGGAAAGACAAGGCTCATTTAAATATCGCATGGCATAATGTGATATTTGAATGTATAATGACATATTATAAAAATGCAGATTTTTATGATATGCCTAGAGCTTTGAAGAACTCAAAAAAAAAAGATTTAAATGGAGGGTTATCTCGACTTAACAAAAACAAAATCACAACCAAATTGGCAAAAACAAAGCCTTTTGGTATAGCTTAACAATTTGGATTTTTAAGATATGCCTTAACCTTTGTTAGCCTGGCTCTGCCAGACCCTTGTAGTTCCGCCATGCTCCACCAGAGGCGTTTGGCTGAACCACATGGGTCTGGTATCGAGCCCATAGCGAACGCCTTCCCCAGATTATTTTTTAATCGACCAATCAGGATTGCCGGTGTTACGTGGGGTTTGCACTGCCTTCTCAAGATTCTCTCATGCAGCAGCGAGAGGAATCCAAGATGGCGGACGTAAAGTCCGCGAATCTTTTTAAAAGAGTAAATACGATCGAATTAAGACACGGAGGTCACTTTTAATGTTGATGGATGGTTCTATGTTGATATATGTGTGTTTTTAGAGTCAAATGTTCCTGTAAAGTTTGGTTGAAGCACTGGTTCAGTGTTCCTGTTTACACACTATGCAGCAGGGTTGCCAGGTTTGGTGGTTCCCGCATATTTTTTTCCAAGAGACTTGTAGGTATTAAATAAACAGAAAGACAATAAACAGAATCATGACAGCCCAAGTTGATTATATTACGTTTTTAGCCAAAAAATCATATTGAGTGTTTTTCTTGTGTGTGGGTATTCTCGTGGATTTTGGGTTGGAAAATCTTGCTGGGATTTGGCAACCTATGGGAGACGTGTGCTTCGATGTGAGTGGTTGAAAGCAGACTTCATTCAAGATAACGGACAAGTGATCTATCCAATCACATACAAGGATTTTTTTTACAAGGCCCTGCCTTCTGAAATCCAACCACTATGGCTCAGTACCAGACTCATGTGTGAAGTGCAGCGAACTACATGGGTCTGGCGAGAGTCAGGCTAAAGCTTTGTTGGGCTGAAAAATAAAAAAAAATGAATGGGGGGGGGGGGCAAACATAAAAACAATAACATATATGAAAAATTTAAAAAGTGTGTTCTGTTTATTATGTAGGTGAGTGTGTGTGTGTGTGTCTGTGTTTTATTCTCATGAATAATTAATAAAAAAGTCTCAAACTGGTGTCTTCAGATGTGAACGAGTGCCTGTCGAGCCCGTGTGGTCAGGAGTGCTCCAACTTGTACGGCTCGTACCAGTGCTACTGCAACCAGGGATACTTCCTCAGAGAAGACGGACACTCCTGCGATGGTACATTCTATTCATCAGCTCAATATTATCGCAATAGTTGTCAGCTAATTCAGAAAATCAACGTATTGTTCTTTTGACCTTCCCTAGACTTAAATGCTGAGAAGACTCAGATAATTCTATTCTGACTACAGAATTAAATGTGTTTACAAAGTATTGTTTAAAAAAAATCTAACTCATGTTTAACAAGTCATCTCTATGAAGATCTTCTCCAGGGGTGTTTTGGTCAAATCAACAACAACAAAATTCCATATTTCTGACCTTTCTTTTTTATTTTGAAAGAATAGCCAGATCATTTGTCGTAGGCTCACAAATGATTCTCAATTATTGTTTTTGTCTAAGCGTCGATGGTAAGAGGTTTTAATTACCCCGACATGTTATACCTAATGTTAAAGCTACTTTTCTCTCCAAAACAACTATTCCATTATTTGTTTCAATGAACCCAAAACACAAAAAGCAATGATTGACAGACTGTAACAAATCCAATTCAGTCCAAAAATAACTGGAAGAAAAAAAAGAAACATTTAACCAGCGAATTGCTAAATCCTGTTAAATAAAAGTCATCCTTTGTGAAAGTACCTCCATATGAAACATGAATACATTTGTATTTAATTAAACAAAGATGCAAAATATGAATACCACGTTCCACTAAGGAGATGAAAAGTACAGTCTAAAAGAAAATTCAGGTTCCAAAAATAAAAGAGTTGGCATTGATTAACTTTTTTAGCAAAACATTTGTACGCTTTGGGCTAAAGAGTAGAATAGTTTGGGCACCCCAGATGTAAATTGAATAGTTCTTTAGCAAAAACCGATGAGTGATGTAAGAAAAACATTGGAAAGACTTACAATTTGCTCTTTTGCATTTTTTACCAAACGTCTAGACAAAAACAAAACCTCTTGAAGATTGTAACGAGAGGAAAACAACTTTTTCACAACTTTTCAAAACAAATTTAGATATCTGTTTTTGCGAGGTCACTAATAATTGTTAATTGTGGCCCGAAGCGCAACATTTCCACGCGTTCTGACTTGAGCTTGTGATCCGGTGCACTTTCCTCAGACATCGACGAGTGTTCCCAAAGCATCGGTCACCTCTGCACCTACAAGTGTGTGAACGTGGCGGGCAGCTACCAGTGCGCCTGCCCCCAACACGGATACACCATGTCTCCCAACGGCCGCTCCTGCAGAGGTATCCCCTGTGCAACCAACCACCAAGTCCTCCTCTATCCTTTATCCTCAGAAGTTTTACTGAGGTGAAACCAGGAAGAACACAAAATGCAGGAATGTCAAAATAATATGATTCAATGAAGGAATACATAAAAGTCCAGGATAAAAGCAAACTCAGAAATCCAAGCAACACATAGGAACGAAGAGGAAAACAGACATAGACAATGGACCAGCCACGAATGGGGATGAGCACAGGTACATATAGACACAGAGAGACACAGGTGAGACACATCAGGGCAGGGAAACAATGTTAGAATTAAAAAAAAACACAAAAAAAACAGCCACACCATGACACCCTGAAGAATTGAGAAAAGAAAATTGTCTATCCTTTCTATCTGGAATATTCTGTCTCCAATATATGTTGTATGAACTTCACGTTGACAATATAGGAGCAGTGATGTAGATTTTAGTCTAGAGCTGCAACTAACGATTATTTTGTAATAGATTAATCTATTGATTATTTTTACGATTAATCGAGTAATCGCTTGGCTGTGAATTGTGTAGAAAAAAAATATTTTTTCATCACAAAAAGCTAAAGTGGCAACACTCGAGGACGTATTGATGGCGTAAACTTAAAGTAAATGTTTGTAACAGGCTCTTTGTGCTAATTCTGCTATCTGATTGGATGAGACAGACAGATATTCATGAAATTATAAAAACAAAGTCTGTTTTAATCAAAAATACTACATTTTCATGTCATTTTTGCTCTGTTTGAGTCTGTGTGAACCAGAAAACGATTAATCGATTACTAAAATAGTTGTCGACTATTTCAATAATCGATTAGTCGTCGATTAATCGATTAGTTGTTTCAGCCCTATTTTAGTCTAAATACATAGAAAGTATTCTTGTGTATTGGTCGTTGACACTAGATTAGCTCCACATGTCCAGAGCAAAGACGCAGAACGCTCCTAAATCCAGGACACTTTATACACAATAACTTGGCTTCCCTCAAATCTCTACCTTAATTTTTTATCTACAGTACATATTTATTTGTGTTGTGTTACTGATATAAGTCGTCCACTATCTCTTACCAAGATACAGGGTGTCACCAATACATGTATTAAAAAATGCTGGTTCCTAAAGAAAGTTGCGTCAGTTTGACAGTGACTTTTTTTTGCATTCATAAAATCTTTTATCTGACCAAACCAGCCACAGAGACCATAAACACATACAGACTTTTGCTGCTGTGCATGGGAGCGGGATGACTACTGTCCATAAATGTTTATCAATGTCCTAAAATGTCCTTAAATGTAAAGGCTTGAACATGTTTTTACCTTTTGTTAGATATCGACGAATGCACCAGTGGGACGCACAACTGTTCTCTGTCTGAAACCTGCTACAATATTCAGGGAGGACATCGTTGCCTCTCGTTTGACTGTCCCCCCAACTACAGGAGGGCGTCCGACACGTAAGTCTGGCTGACTTTTGTGGTTGTGTGACCATGATATTTTTTAGCCTATTATTAAAGAAGACATAAGAGAAAAGAGGAAATCCGACATGTAAGCATGTAATTAAAAAAGACATATCGAGCTCATGGTGATCTATTTAGGACTTAATGAGTGCTGACATCTCCCATAGGGTTATTGTGGAAGAAGCTGATCAGAGCGAGCTCAAATAGGCTCCATGTGCGGGAGTCTGGAGCCTAAAGTGTGGGTAGCATTGATCCAGAAACCAAAGAAATAATCAGGACCGGCACCATTCTGTTCCCACCAAACCCCGGCGACCCAAGATCTCTGCCCATTCAAAACAAATGGCCTGTGCTTATTGCCATATGGTCTTGCTATGGAGGCCAAAATTGTGAGCGCAAGTGACGCATTTGGGCCACCTCCGGTCCGCAGCAGTAGCTTTGTTTGTGGCAGTAGCACGGGCGAGAAAGAGCAGAGTTGTTTGTGCAAATGTCAGAATTAATAGAAAAGTAATGGATTTCAAAAGAAAAATAGAGGAAGACAAGGAACACTAAAATCCCCACTAAACCTGACCTGAGAAAGCAGTAGGTTCTACATGTATGTCAGCTGAGGACGAGCTGTTTTTATCAACATTGAGGTCTATTGAGAAATTTCCTGAGTCGCCCTGATGAATTTAGATTACAATAAGTCAATAGGAGCCAGGGAAAATTGGAGCAAAACTGTGTATTTGAGAAATTCCCTATTGGGCTTCTTTGAGCTATCGGTTTTGCATTGTCCATCTGTATACAGTATGGTTGCTGTGCAGGAGAAACATTAATTCGAGGGTGAATATAAACCAGAATGATACTGAGGGGCTGTATTCTGATGACACGGTGCTTGTGGTTGCAGTCGTTGTGAGCGGATGAGCTGCCCTAACTTCCTGGACTGCCAGAGCTCTCCTCTGCGCATCACCTACTACTACCTGAGCTTCCAGTCCAACATCCTCATCCCGGCTCAAATCTTCCGCATCGGACCATCGCCCGCTTACTCCGGGGATAACGTCATCGTCAGCATCACCCAGGGCAACGACGACAACTACTTTAGCACGCGCAAACTCAACACCTACACGGGTGCGGTGTACCTACACCGGCAGCTGGAGGGGCCCCGGGACTTCCTCGTCACCGTGGAGATGAAACTGTGGCGTCAGGGAACGTTCACCACGTTCCAAGCTCGCATTTATGTGTTTATCACAGGAACATTGCTCTAACAGCAACAGACAATAACATTAAACAGACTTTTATCTATTTGTGCCTATTCAGTTTACAATGTTTCCTTTGAGACACGACTGATTTAAGATGCAGAAAAAGAACTTGGCTTAAACAGTTGTTTGAAAGTTTACACACCCGGCCAGAGGTTTCATTGTTTCAGCCATATTCGTTTCCTTCTTTGTTCATGGTTTTGTGAAGCCAGATATTGTCTGATAATTGTGTTTCCTGTTTTCAAACGATTACATCTTTGAGTCGCTCTCAAATGAGCAATTCATGCAAGGCAGCCTAGGAATTTACATGAACTGGAGGGTTTTTCCACAGAAGAATATGCCGTTCATCCACAACCACCACAACAAACATCTAAGAAGGGGCAACACTCACTATTGAGAACAAGGGGATGGAGACTTTTAATCAGGGTCAGGAGCGGAGTCGTCGTCATCATCATTTGACCAAAAAAAAAAGTCTATTTGACAAAGAGTGACAAAGTTTTGCGTTCATAGTCTCATAAATATAATAATAACAATGCATTGGTTTCATACAGCACTTTTTGAACGCTAATTATTCATTCACTCTGTACACTTTTTGAAACTACTACTACTACTACTACTGTAGCCACAGCTGCCCTGGGACAGACTGACAGAAGCGAGGCAACCCTCATATGTCATCTGTCCCTCCAACAACCACCAACCATTCATGCGCACACCAAACTCATATTAGCCAAAGTGCCTAAGGACACAGCGACTGGTTCTGGATTCGGTTCCTCCTCCTTCTGTGTAGAGTTTGCATGTTCTCCTCATGTCTGTATAGGTTTCCTCTGTGTGCTTCAGTTTCCCCTACCACTAAAAACACATACAAAAGTTCAGGATTGAGTGTGGGTTTGTGTGTGTGTTTGAGTGTGGGACAACAGATGTACTGTAGGTGTGTCCATTAAAATGCTCTGTCCCAAACAAATAACCAAAATACAAATATATAAAACACGCTTAAAACACGCTTTGACGCCCTGGCCGTGAGTTCTGACGGGATCAGGCTTTCACATGCAGGTGGTCAGAATCAAAAGTAGAATTTCTGCCTGGGTGTGTAAACTCAATACCTTTTGATACTACACCAGAGTACTGCTCAGACTGCTGCTGATTAGAAATGGAAACTGGAAAAGAAGCATTTGTTGTGGACGGAGAGCAGACAGAGACGTGTGGACGAGGCCCTTGGAGCAAAACCCAGAGACCTGAACCTGAACTCATGGCTCAGCTCTGATCTTGTTACAGTTTGACCAAATGATTTTATTGCACAAAAATATGTATTTTTTTCCTTTTAGTCCTGGTTCTATATTTCTGTATTGCAACTCACCTGAAAGCTTTCCTCGTCCCTATTTCAAAGCAGATTGTGTTTTTGCCATCGGTTCAGTCGCTGTCCTTGATTCTGTGGATAGAAACATAAAGTCATAGACAGTTTAAATATTCAGTAGGACCGAGGGTGCTGTAAAGTTGTATAATAAAGTTAGATTTAGAGTTAGCTGAGATGGTTGCAGGACAGGGGTCTCCAGCCTTTGTTCCCCACAGAAAGATATTTTTGAGACAGAAACGCAGAGAGCTTCTCACAGTTGCAAGAAATTGAGGCAACCTGAGACACTACAACATCTTAATCTTAATTTGAGTATAATTTGACAGTTTTAAAGCCGACCGTATGCAATATTTTCATTTTAAATCTTGTATATGTGTCTCCAGATAACAAGTCACACGCACAAATCATATTCGACCTTTTCTCAACCACAGTTTAAAGTGGAGTTATTCTTAAGTAAAAAACACAAAGGGCGTGATGTCCACTATATTTACGGTCCCAATTTTCAAGCAGATTATCCAATCAGAGAGCAGAATGAGGCTCTCGTTTTGGTTGCCAGTTTGGTAGGTTACATTTAGTTGTTATTTTCATACACAAACACAAAAAAAATCCTCACACATGTGTTTGAATTAAACCAGATACAAAATAATATACCTTAAGAGTTTGTACAGTTTCTATCTAAACCCCAGCAGATGGACTACATCAGTAATCAGAGCCCTGGAGCTACATACGACACAGGCAGGCGGATTCTGGCAACGAAGGTGTGATTGGAATTGTTATGATATTACTAGTCCACGGAGATTGCATATTGTATACTGTCCCTTTAAGATATGATTTGCTAAAGGCAGATGCAAAAAATAAATATGTGATTTGGAGTTAGAATGTACTTTTATTAAGATACATTTAACTCAACATTTTGGAAAACCTACAGTTTGATATGCATACAACCATATTTTAAGTTATTAGTGTACACATTTAAAGCTGGAATATTACTCTTAAAACACAAAAAATATCAAATTTGTAATCAAATCTTTCATGATTTTCATTTCAAGCTCTGTATCAACGATAAGGGGAGGTGAGCTACAGGTTGGAGACTTCTGTGATAGCATATAAACACATGATGTACCTATGTTTTGTATTTGATTCTTACATATTTGACCTGTGGTAACATCAAAAACCTCTGTACTTAATAACTTTTGTATTTATGTGACATTACTGAAGTGTGTTTGAACTGTATACCTGGATGTAATATATTTATATGAGCTTTTTTATATATATATATGTAGACAAACCTGATGTAGTTTGTGCTGTGTTTTTCCCCTGAATCCTGGTCCGTGCTCGCATACGTCGGCTATACAGCGGTGTGACTATGTAATCCTGGCGTGTCAGGACAGGCCTCACAGTAAATATCCATGGCTATTTACATACCTGTTCACACCTTTCTCCTGAACTCGACATGAGCCGCATCCTGCTCTCACAGCACGGCGGCGCAAACGGCTTATTAACCCGCCATCAAGCCCTCGTTGTGCTGTTTCCATTCATAAAAACAACATTATCAGGTGTTCAATGGAAAAGGAGGAAGTTGGAAGGAAGTTATTGTCCAGGAGCTTTGCACACTCGGGAGGTTTAGCGTCTTTCACCGCCATCTTGAGGAGAGCAGTGGTACATGTTTCTACAATACAATACAACAAACATGACTTTAACAGGGCACATATTGTAAATTTTAACTATGGTACAATATTGTTCCCTTGTTCAAAAACAGACCTGGAGTTGTTTTTAGATCCATCCGTGCTAATATCCCTACATTCTGGCACAAACGTGTAGTATGTCCGTGATTGCAGCTGGTAATGTGCACACTTGGACAAATTCAACTCCTCCCTCTGGTGGCAGCACAGGGAGTTACAGGCAGAAAACATGATTTACCCTTCATACTTGTTTCACCATATATTTTCAACAAAAGGTATTATTTGACATTCTAAAACCTGAAATGACCAAGTGAATAGTCTTGGTATCATTTATAAACAAAACCAACAATATTCTTCGTATTAGATTTAATTATTTGATTAACAAACAATGTGGTAATAAAACAAACAGTGGTTACAGAATATTTGCTGCTTGAAAAGTGTAGGTTGAAGGTCAAAGAACTTTTGAACACATTATTTATTTTTTAAATCAAGTGAGCTGCACCTCTTTGGGAAAACAGAATTGTGATGTTTCTGACAAACTTTGTGATGCGAGTCCTGACATACGCTGAAAAGTTTGGAACTGTTGTCGCTCAGTTGGTTCAAAACACAGGTCTGCATTTAAAAACTCATATTTGACAGTGTGAAGTTAATATCCAGGAACAACAACATTAGGATGAACACGAGCTCAGAGCGAGACAGAAGAGGAAAAAGAGAGCGTTCACAACATCTACCATGAACCTCTGAGCTCAGACCAGAATCCCACACTATTCAGAAATCAGACTAAACTACAGTCAACACTTTCAGTCATAAGAATGGAATAATAACAGTATAAAAGTATGACATGTTTTTATCTTATATTACATCTACATCTTTTATACGTCTCCCCAGATAACAGCTCACATGCACATATTTGGCCTTTTCTGAACAAAAGTTTGAAGTAATTCTCGAATAAAAATACAATGTCCATGATGTCTATTGTATTTATGTTTACTAATTTCAAGCAGAAACAGTCTCTCATTTGGGTTGCCAGTTTTTTTCGTGACATTTAGTTGGTTTTGGCTCTATCTTATAACAAAATTTACATACACAAAAGTGAAATAAATAGCAGCACATACTACAGTATATTTGTCTAAATGAAATCAGGCGTTGAGTGGAAACTGGATAGTGCCCAACAGCAGGACAAACGCAGGAGTATAGTGCTAAAAAAGTGAGTTTATTTATAAAAGAAATACAAAATGAAACACAAACGCCTATGAAATATCTCTTAAATGAATGACTTAACTCAAGAGAACAAAGATAAATGGTGCAGTCACTTGGCAGCTCTCTCCTCAATGCTACTTGGGTATAAAGGTGTTTGAAACCCCAATGCAAATGGCCCAGAGAAAAGGAAATACTTATTACTGAAATCTACATAAATAAGTATCTAAAGCAATATATTTGATCAAGTAGCAGATCCACACATAAGTACTCAGAAGTAACACACAGAGTTTGTACCATTTGTATTTTTATTTATACAGCGCCTTTCACAGACCAGAGTCACAAAGAGCTTTACAATTGTTGTTTTTTTGGACTTAAGTCTCTCACTCCACACAGAGATCGCCCTGTACATGCCAGACCTATAGCACGTGTTTTTTTAGTGGTTGGGGAAACCGAAGCACCTGGAGGAAACCTACACAGACACGGGGACAACATGCAAGATTCGATCCCAGGACCTTCTTTGCAGTCATGTGATTGCACTGACTTCATTAGATTACTAAGACGACATATCAAATACTGTCCCTTTAAACATGAGAAAGACAAAACCATTTTTCTCTTGGAATTTTAAAACTACATTTGCACTTAGTATGAGGCTAAAGACAAAGATTAAATTGGCAAATGTGATTTCATGGCCCAAACGGAAAATGTATTCAAACCATTTTTATTTGCAACAGTCTTTTTAAAAATGCATTATACGTCCTTTTTGCCACAACATTTTGATT